GTGTAAAGTCACGTAAAAAAAAAACGTGAGTTTTTCAGCTTTTTTTTTTTTTTTTTAGCATTTTTGCATTAGTGTTTAGCAGCGTTTGCTTTTTTTTTTTTTTTTGGACAAAAAAAGTCCATAAATGCCGGTTTGTGGCGTTTTTGTCCCATTAGAGCGTTTTAACAGCTAAAAAACTCCTCTAGAAACCTACTAGTCCTGGATTTTTTCCAGCCAAAAAACGTCCCTGCCAAAAATGTTGGTTACAGTCTATGTGTGCATGAACGCATAGGATAACATGCTGGGGGGTTTACTAGCTGTAGAAAAAAACGTCAAAAGCCAAAAACAGCAGCTGTAAAAACGACAAGTGTGCATGAGGACTAAAAATGTTTTTGGTGCAAAGCTTAGCTTCTCTTTGAGTTCCCTTTTTTTTATGGCAATTTTCATTCTTGTTATGGCATTTGAAAAACCTTAACTGCATATCTAACCCCTTTCACCATAGTAACAAACTGGCATTTTGTGGATGTTTTTTCTTCTAATTCCCATAAACTGGTATTTGCGTGCATTTCTGATTTTAAATATTATTTGTTTAATATTATAACCTTATCTTTCCTTTTTTTTTTTTTTTTTTTTTTTTCCAGGTGGACTCAAAGATCTCACTTGGTGTTTCTGGTATTCTTATTGTGCTAAGCTCGGTCGTTTGCTCCCTGGGTATCTTCAGCTATGCTGGCATTCCACTCACTCTTATAGTTATTGAAGTCATCCCATTCTTGGTTCTAGCAGTCGGAGTGGACAACATATATATCATTGTGCAAACCTTGCAGGTACAGTGCTGTTTGTCTTTCCATGTAAAAGAAAAATGTTAGTCTTGTACGGAGGCCTGCATCTAATGCAGGCCATAGATGGGGAGAAAAACGGCCGATTTTTCGTCCGAAAATAAAACCGGCCGATTATCTTATCGTTAGTGGACGATTTTGTCGGCCGTTTTTCGTGTATTTTGGACTTTCAGATTATCGGTGATGTTGGAAAATTTTCGAAAAACGCCCAACTTTATCCTCATTGATGGTCAAAAACGAACGATCGTTTTCCGAAAAAGGATCACAAAGGCCACAAAATGACATCATTTCCCGTTATAGGTTACTCATTAATCGGCCGATTTTCGTAATAATTGGTGGTCAGGTAAGTTTTTTAGACCGACCGATAGTTCGTTAATCGACCGAAAATCTGCCGTTTTTCTCCCCATTATCTAATACAAGATATTATTATTCCCTCTACATACAATACATAGGCTTAATTCACTAAAGCAGAACAGGTGTTATTTACAATTGTAACTATTATTCAGCAATGTAACTGATTTCCATTAGCTGTCACTGCTGATATGTTATGACGAAAAACTCCTATAGCATACAGAATCAAATCTGTGGTGTCCAAAACAATGGCAGAGCCTAGATTGTCAATATCAAAAACTAGTTTAAATGTTGTTGTATCCTCCTCTGACTGTTCGTTTTGTAGCTATTAGGCAGGCCATCTGGTTACCAGGACTGGAAGTGAGATCAAATCTCCCCAACATGGACTCCGCATTCAAAAAACAGACTGAAACCAAAAATTATCTTTGGACGCAAATGAGCCTTAAAAAAAGAAAAGTTAAAAAAAAAAAAAAAAAAAAAAAAAAAGTATTTTCATTGTCCTGGGTATTCATTCACATGTCTGATTGTTTACTGAATGAACCATTAAAAGGAAAAAAAAAAACCTAACATTACAGCCAGCAGGTTAATTGGTAAACGTTCATTAAATGTGTGCTGAAAAGGAGTTCTGAAACTGGCCATACACACGCTGAATTTCAGGTGTTTCCTGATGAATCGTCTGAAACTCATTCTGTGGGTAGCCCTGTCAGCACCACCTGGCTCAACAAAAGTCAATTTATCCACCAGCTTTTGTTGAAGGATCTAGGGGGCAGATGCAGGCTCTGTTTGTGTATTCTAGCAGCTGCGGGTACCTGACACTGCAGATTTTTTTCATCCATGCTGTTTGGTTATCTTAGGCCCCTTTCACGTGAGCAGACTGACTGGGTCTGCCTGGACACGATTTGACCCTCCATTCTCCTATATGAAGGGGGATCTGTTCCCCTTCCATCTAGCAGATTGGATGTCAGTCAGTCCAGTGGACAGGTGGTCAGTTTACATCCGACTGCTCATAGAGGAGGGGGGGCTGTGTCTGTGTCCCCTCTGCATAAGCGGATCAGACATGGACCAGCCCTCTGCCGCTGCTCGGTGGACAGATCCCCCCTGCTGAGCAAACAGACTCCTGGCAGAGCTCACCCCATGTGGAAGGTGCTTTAGGTGTAAACATTTGTGACTATACCAAATGCACTGAAATGTGGTGAATTTTAGTGTGTAACAATGCTCATTCACATGTATACTGTCATGTCCACAGGAGTAACCTGGATATTGGTATTTATTAAACCCTTTTCTTTTGCAGAGAGATGAACGCTTGCAGGGTGAGAAGCTTGATGAGCAGATTGGCAGAGTCCTGGGTGATGTCGCCCCGAGCATATTCCTGTCATCATTCTCTGAAACTGTGGCTTTTTTCTTGGGTTAGTAACACAGTTTAGCAAAGAGCAGTATTTAGACTGCAGAGCTGTTCATAGTTATAGTTAGTCTGGTTGAAAAAAGTCCATCCAGTTCAACCATTAAAAAAAAAAAAAAAAAGTTATAATCCTACACCCACAGTTGATCCAGAGGAAGGCAAATAAAACCAGCAAAGCATGATCCAAATTGCTCCTGCAGGGAAATCCTTCCTGATCCCCTGAGAGGCAATCGGATATTCGCTGGATCAACTTTACCTATAAATGTTAGTATCTAGTTATATTCTGTGTATCTAAGAAAGAATCCAGGCCTTTTTTAAAGCAATCCACTGAGCTGGCCAGAACCAACTCTTGAGGGAGTCTATTCCACATTTTCACAGCTTTCACTGTGAAGAAACCTTTCCATGTTTTGGAGATTAAATTTCTTTTCCTCCAGACGTAAAGAGTGCCCCCTTGTCCTCTGTGATGACCTCAGGGTTAATAGCTCTACACCGAGTTCACTATATGAACCACTGATGTATTTATACATGTTGATCATATTCAGAAAGGCCCACAAAGGGCAAAGCTTTGGGGTTTTTTTTTTCCATCTCCTCTGTGGTCCTGTCTAGATGAGAGTGAAAAAAAATGCTTCCGTGATTGAAGGAGCATGTGACAGAGGTGGTCCTTCTCCTTGATATTTGAGCAAGAAATGACATATGGTGGCAGGCAGAGATTCCTTCGATCATATTTGGGCTCAGAGTAGAGGGAATTTGAGCCCTGTATTAACAATGCAAAAGTCAGATTTAGGTGACTGCTAATGCCTGCATTGTTTGAGTTAGTGCATTCAAGGCCATGTGCTCATCACCTAGGAGAGAAATGAACAGGTTCTAGTTCCTGACAAAACTGAACCATGGGATGTGTTTCTATCATAACAGGAGCAATGTCCAGTATGCCAGCCGTACGTACCTTTTCACTCTTTGCTGGGATGGCGGTTTTTGTGGATTTTCTGCTTCAGATCACCTGCTTTGTAAGCCTGCTGGGTTTGGATATCAGGCGTCAAGAGGTAAATATTAAAATATCGGAATAATAATTTCAGTTTTAAGAAATACTTATTTCCTATGATCATCAGCTCCCTCTAGTGCCCATAATGTAATATTATTCTGGTTCACTCTACATATGAATGCAGAGAATCTGTCCTAGAGAGAAATAGCTTTATAACATTCAATTTTTGCCAGCATTTGCACAGTGAATGTACATTTTCACAGGGCGAAAAGCTCTGCTAAATTCTTTTTTAAATACACCCCTTATACAGCCTTTTTCAACTAGGATTCCCATGCACCCTAGGAGTGCCTTGAGGTTTCTTTAGGGGTACCTTGGCAAAAGGCCTAAAAATTGCCCAAACTTATTTACAAGCCAGAGGTGGCTCAAGCCTGCCCTTTAGTTACACAAAGCCACAGGTTTTCATTGTGCACCATTACGACGTTCTAGCCGCCTACATCCAAACAACCAATGATGTCATCCGTTGATTAGGAGGTTGTTGGTCGTCTGCAGAGCATTCTTGTTTGACCCTCCCCTGCCCCTCTTCTTCAAAGCTGGGGTCACATTAGCTGAGTGATAGAGAACAACTTGGGGAGAAGAGAAACACTGGAACACTAATCCGTACCAGTGTGCAAAATTGTATTTGATTTGGAAGAATAAATCACCTATAATGTTAGGAGTCCTACATGTGTGGATGTTGCTGCTTTATGTAAATCTATTAGAATAGACATTCTAAAATTACATTTTAGAATGTAGTGCCTTGAGGCTGTCCGTATTTTTAGAGGGTGCCATGAGATTGTCCATAATGCTAAAGGGTGCCTTCACTGAAAAAAAGGCTGAGAAACACTGCCTTAGAGTATGTTATCTACTCAATTGAAGTGTCATATAGCAGGGCTTACAGAAAGACAGACTGCGGAAAATAACTAATTGTTGGTTGCAAAAAGCTAACTTCTGAATAAATAATAATTTTAAAAATATATTTTTGGGTCCATATATATATGTCATAATATTTGGCTCTGTATGCCACCAGAATAAATTTCAAATGAAACCATCCACATGAATTTGAAGTGCAGACTTTCAGCTTTAATTCAAGAGGTTGAACATAAATATCAAGTACACATTTTAGGAACTGCAACCATTTTATACACAGTCCCTCCATTTTCAGGGGCTCAAATGTAAATGGATAAATAAATATAATCATAAATAAAATGTTAATTTTTTTTATATTTTGTTGAGAATCTTTTACTGGCAATGACTGCCTGAAGTCTGAAACCCATGGACACTACCAAAGACTGGGTTTCCTCCTTTCTGATACTTTGCCAGGCTCTAACTGCAGCTGTCTTCAGTTGTTATTTTTTTGTGGGTCTTTCTGCCTTTAGCAAGTGAAATGCATGCTCGATTTGGGTTGAGATCAGGTGATTGACTCGGCCATTGCAGAATATTCCACTTCTTTTTCTTCAAAAGCTCCTGGGTTGCTTTTGCAGTGTGTTTTGGATCATTGTCCATCTGTACTGTGAGCTCAGTCCAATCAATTTTGCTGCATTTGGCTCAATCTGGGCTGACAGTATATCTCTAAACACTGCAGAATTCTTCCGGCTGCTTCTGTCTTCTGTCATATCATCATTAAACACCAATGACCCAGTGCCACTAGAAGCCATGCATGCCCATGCCATCACATTCCCTCCACCATGTTTTACAGATGATGTTGTGTGCTTTGGATCATGAGCTGTTTCAAGCCTTCTCCACACTTTTTTCTTCTCATCATTCTGGTACAGATTAATCTTAGTTTCTTCCATCCAAAGAATGCTTTTCCAGAACTGGTCTGGCATTTTTGCATGTTTTTCGGCAAAGTCTAATCTGGCTTTTCTATTCTCCAGGCTTATGAATGGTTTGCACCTTGTGGTAAAACCTGTATTTTGCTCTTGTGAAGTAGATGATTGTAGACTTTCACAATGATACGCCCACCTCATTCAGAGTGTCCTTCACTGTCATTCCTAAACCGTTCCTCCAATTTGGATGTACATACCCTCAAATTAAACCTGAGTGTGCACTTTCAGCCCATATCCATTATATAGTAACTATAGCTTGAATATGTTTTGGTAAATACCTGAAAAAATCTTGAATTGTGCCTGTGTCCATATGTATATGGGTCGGTGTCTCTCTCTCTCTCTCTCTCTCTCTCTCTCTCTCTCTCTCTCTCTCTCTCTCTCTCTCTCTCTCTCTCTCTCTCTCTCTCTTCTCTCTCCTCTCTCTCTCTCCATATTTATTTTTTTCTAATTTATTAATTATACACGATTATAATGCTTGCACAAGAATTCACTTTTGTACTGTTAACATCCATGAAAATGAATGCAGAATCTGACTGAATTATCTTTCCGCTCCTGCAGAAAAGCAGGCTGGATATCCTCTGTTGTGTCCCAGGGTGTAAGAAGAATCGTAGTACAGACAAACCAAAGAGCTGGCTCTTCCTGTTCTTCAAGAGGATCTATGCCCCTCTGTTAATGAAAGACTGGATCCGGCCTATAGTGGTGCGTGGTATACATGCTGCATATGGAATTTTATCAAACACGCTAGCAGAAAATCCAAACAGTAGGTTTAGTTTAGAGCTTTAGAATGGTAACATTGCCAAGGACAGGAATGGATAGAATGAAGGGTGCTAAAACCAATCTAAATGTGTCCTTGTGTAGCTGCATCTCTTCTTACAGCTTCATTTGATTAGTAACATGTCTCAGTAGTAGTTTTAGCACATTTGTAGTACTCAAATTCTCTTTTAATTTGAAGTTGTAACCCCAGATATTTAAAAAATTGCTTTCATTATGGATAAATTAGGGAAGGGTTAAAATCCCTAATTAGGGTTTTTTTTTTTGGGGGGGGGGGGGGGGATGTTTATCATCGGTTTCCCATTGGGGAGATTTTCCATTCCATGGACCTTTCCGTGAGAAATCCTCTTTTGGACAGTGGGAACACGTTGAAGAGTGTTCCCACTGGAAGGGTTAAGGCTGCACTCGAGGAATGTGACAAAAATAACCTTTGCATTGCAAGGGTTAAATGCTTGTTTAAGCCGACAATAGATGGATCAAAATTCAGCAGGTTCAGTGGGAACAGACTGATGTTTGATTAATCTGTGGGCAGGCTGGTTATACTGAAGTCAATCCATTGATTGACTTCAGTACAACCATCCTGTCTGGTTGTAGCCGTCATCAGTGATCGTTGAATTGTGCCGACCTGCCTTAGTCTAGGGGTGCACAGATGAGGAGAAATGCCTCATTCCAGGCTTCGGCAGGCTCCCTCGATCCATACGACCGCTTCCCCAGGGCCACCTCTCTATGCCACTTCGAACTGCGGTGAATGCTTGCCGCTATCACGTACAATGCAGGATTAAAAGCCTTGCATTGCATGTTATGATGATGAGGATCCATCCATAGACCAGAAGAGGCCAGAGCGAGGAGTCATGTAAGTAATAATACTAGTTCAGCTTCGCCTTGATTAAACAAGGGTTTAACCCTTGCGGTATGAGGGGCCCCCACTGAAAGGGTTGTTTTTGCCACATTCCCAAGTTTAGCTTTAATCTCTGTTCTAGTGACAACTAAAATTTTGGATTTCCCTCCCTTTCAGTCCCAGTGACAAAACAATGGGGGTTGTTTACTAAAATGGTGTAAAAATCTGGTGCAACTTTGCATAGAACCCAATCAGCTTCCAGGTTTTATTGCCAAAGCTTAATTGAACAAACTGAACTTAGAAGCTAATTTCCTACCGTGCACAGCTGCACCAGATTCTGAGTGCACTATTTTTATTAAACCTCCCCCAATGAACCTTCCCAGCAGGGACAACTGAGCATTCTGTGCCTTAAAGGACAAATTCACTTTTTTTTTAAATCCAGCTCCCCTTTACACCAATATACCATTAATGTACCTTAGTTGCAAATATATACAAGCTCTTTGATCTGGAGAACATGGTCATACTTTAGTCCTTGGTAAATTTCTTAGAACGCTTTTTTGCTTTCTGGAATGTAGACAAGGGACAGAGGAGCCAGTATGACCAGGAAGCAGATTACCAGCTGATCTCATTAGTACAGGCATCCTGCACTGACCTCATTAGTACACACCCTTCATCCATTAACTTTCTTTTGTCACAGCATCCCTGTGCATTTACCTGGCTACCCCAGCATCTGTACAGACTGGCTCAGGCCGCATGCTAAACTCCCTGGGGCCGCATGCAGCCCACGGGACACCCCTGATGTAGTGCAAGGGCCTGCTTAATTGGATACAAGGTGATTGGATAGATGGTGTGTCGTCCTATTATGTAGTTTTGGTAAATCTAAAGGAGATTGTACAGTGTATAGCCACTTTTGTACACCTAAAATTACCTAGTTGCACTTTTAGTGTCATTAATTGTTAATGGCACACCAACCACAGAAACAAGCACACGTTTTGTCACATGAAAATACAGGTGACAAATGCAGCAAAACACGTACGTATAAGACGACTTTTTGACCCTTGAAAATCTTCTCAAAAGTCGGTGGTCGTCTTATACGCCGGTACACATATTTAGGGGGCTGCGGCATTAAGTACAGGGGTTTGCAGGGGCTGATGTCTCTTACCTGGATCCAGTCCCACGACGATCCGGTCCAGGAAGCGCGGCGTCTCCTTCAGTTCGGCCACTGGATGTTCGTGCGGCTGCTCGGCTCCGCCTCCTCACCGGTGATTGGCCGCCAAAACTGTAGCTCAGGAAAGGCACACAGGCGGCCAATCACCGGCGAGGGGGCGGAGCCGAGCGGCCCCGCGAAAATTGAGTGCCGGAGCAGCAGGTAAGTGTTCTGTGTAGAGGTGCTGCTGCAACCACATATGCTGGCTGCAGCAGCACCATACGAGAACAGGGTCAGCAAGTCTCAGTGGGAGGAATAGTGCCCCATCATTGGTGTCACTGATACCAATGATGGGGCACTATTCCTCCCACTGACACCAACGATGGGGCACTATTCCTCCCACTGACACCAACGATGGGGCACTATTCCTCCCACTGACACCAACAATGGGGCACTATTCCTCCCCCCCACTGACACCAATGATGGGGCACTATTCCCCCCCCCACTGACACCAATGATGGGGCACTATTCCACCCCCCACTGACACCAATGATGGGGCACTATTCCACCCCCCACTGACACCAATGATGGGACACCATTCCTCCCACTGACACCAATGATGGGGCACCATTCCTGCCACTGATACCAATGTTGGGGCACTATTCCTCCCACTGACACCAATGATGGGCACTGTTCCTCCCACTGACACCAATGATGGAGCACTATTCCTCCACTGATACTAATGATAGGGCACTATTCCTGCCACTAATGCCAATGATGGGGCACTATTCCTCCCACTGATACCAATGATGGGGCACTATTCCTGCCACTGATACCAATGATGGGGCATTATTCCTCCCACTGATACCAATGATGGGGCACTATTCCTCCCACTGATACCAATGATGGGGCACTATTCCTCCCACTGATACCAATGATGGGGCACTATTCCTCCCACTGATACCAATGATGGGGCACTATTCCTCCCACTGATACCAATGATGGGGCACTATTCCTCCCACTGATACCAATGATGGGGCACTATTTCTCCCACTGATACCAATGATGGGGCACTATTTCCCACTGATACCAATGATGGGGCACTATTCCTCCCACTGGTGTGCATTGGAAGAGGGGTAGTCTTATACGGCGAGTATAGCCCAAACACTACATTTTGGCAGGAAAAGTAGGGGGGTCGTCTTATACGCCCAGTCGTCTTATACGCCGGCAAATACGGTAGTAAAAAAAAAACGTGCAACATGCACCACGCCAAAATGTCCCGTGAGCTACTTTCCCACGTGTAGCACAGCCCATTGAAATCAACGGGCTACCATATGTGGGTCAATGATAAAAGCCAAAAAGCATGCGCCCCCACTACTCTCGGTGTGAACAGGGCCTGCAAGTGAAATTGGTGAGAACAATGAGGCTCCATTCACATCTGTGTGTTTCCGAACGCATGGCAAACAACACAGAAAATGCACACTATGCGTTTTAAAAAACATGCTGCAATTATGCATCGTGTTTGTCTTGTTATTACATGTTAACCACTTGACAACCGGGCTATAGACGAATGACGGCTACAGCATCATTGTCCGGTTCTGGGAGGGGGCGTCATATGACGTCCTCCCAGAACACACCCCCAGCAGCACGCACCCAGCGCTGTCTGTGATCGCTGTGTCCTACAGACACAGCTGATCACATGATAAGGTAAAAGGAAAATCACAGCAGCCTTTTACCATGTGATCAGCTGTGTCCAATGACACAGCTGATCATAAAGTAAATACAGTTGCCGGTTATCATCAGCACTTTCCTCTTGCTGTCACAAAGTGAGGAAAGTACTACCAATAACTGGCAAGTGTCAGAGGACATCTGCACTGATAATCAGGGCACTGATTATCTGTGCAGCTCCAAAAGTGCCCATCAGTTCCACCTCATCAATTTCCACCAGTGCAGCCCATCAGTGCTGCCTCATCAACGCACATCAGTGAAACAGAATATGTACCCGTTTTCAAACTTTTATAATAGAAACAAAGAAAAACTTTTTTTTTCTTCCCAATTTTTTGCTTTTTGCGTGTATAGTGCAAAAAATGAAAAACCCAGTGGTGATTAAATACCACCAAAAGAAATCTCTGCTTGGGTGAAAAAAAATGATCAAAATTTCATATGGGTACAGTGTTGCATGACTGCGCAATTGTCATTCAAATTGCAATAGCGCTGAAAGCTGAAAATTGGCCTGGGAAGGAAGGGGGTAAAAGTGCTCGATAGGCAAGTGGTTAAAGGTACCTGAAAAAACTGTAGTAACACACCGTGCTCCAATTTTTTAAAAAAAAAAGTTCTGAGGCTTTTCTGGGGTGATTCATGCATGTATGGCAGCCCGTTCAAGTGAATGGACTGCCCCATGTGTGACAAGTGAACATGCTTCAAAACATCCAAAACAAATGCATGCGGGAATGTGAGTCTTCACTACGGGGATGTGAACGGGGCCTGACAACTGAGTGTCTGTCTCCAAGTCGGGCAATGGATACACAGAGCACTGCTTGGGAATGAGCCTGCACAAGTGTTCCTTTTTGCAAGCGGCTTGCTAGGGGGGCATTCAGCATGGGGGAGGAGCCAGGAGTACTGGCAGGGGGCCCCAGAAGACAAGGATCAGGGCTGCTCTGTGCAAACCCTTTGCATAGAGCAGGTAAATATAACATGTTGATATTTAAAAAAAAAAAACGTTTTCAATCACTTTAAATGGTCAAGTATATTATACATTATATACAGTATAGCCCTGTGTGCTGTGCAGTTTATTCTTGGCAGTCAGAGTAAAAAAGGTGTAATGATTCAGCAGGCTTGTATAATCCAAACTGTATTGTGTGTTGCAGATGGCCATCTTTGTGGGAATGCTTTCCTTTAGCATTGCTGTGGTCAATAAAGTGGAGATTGGTTTGGATCAAACCCTGTCGATGCCAGATGTGAGTTTACATTCTAGATATCCATTTGGATTACTACATAGAATTGAAGACTTGCTATGTTGTGAGCACATGACTCATTCCTTCTTTCTGTAGGACTCCTATGTGCTGACCTACTTTGAATCCCTGAATAAATACCTCCATTCCGGTGCTCCAGTGTACTTTGTGGTGGAAGAAGGACATAATTATAGAACAATGGAAGGGCAGGCAAAGGTGTGTGGTGGAGCAGGGTGCAACAACAACTCGCTGGTTCAACAGATTTACAATGCTGCACAAATTGACAACTAGTGAGTAATTACTCGTAGATTAAATTTCATATGTTTGTATAACCACGCCACGTTCTCATGACTTTCCTCATGTTGCAGCACAAAAATAGGCTATGCCCCTTCCTCATGGCTGGATGATTACTTTGACTGGGTGAAGCCTCAGTCTACATGTTGTCGTGTGTATAACGAAACTGACAAGTTCTGCAATGCTTCAGGTAATTTAGTTAATAAGCATCAACCTGGCAGATATATAGATATATATATGAAAAAACCCTTACACGGGAATTCCTGCCTAACACTAACTATTCTTAAAAATGTCCCCTCCTACCCATCCTGCCTAAACTGTGTTAAAAAAAAAAATCTGTATGCTAATATTTTTCTTTTATTTATTTTTTTAGTCCAGTCTGGTCACATAATCCTGCAGCTCTGGCTACCCATTAGTGAGAGAGTGCTCAACAATGGCTGGGAATTCTGGGAGCAGTGATATCACTCATAGGCTCCCAGGACCCAGTGGCTCTCTCCTCTCCTCTGCAGCCGCTGCTTACTGACACAGGGGAGACAGAGCTGTGGGATCATGTGACTTGGCTGGAGCGGACTGAAAAAAGTTAAGTATACAGATCTTTTTTTACAGTAGCTGATACTGTGTGCTGTTGGTATAGAGCCAAATTAATAGTGACCAGTAAAGTATTAAAAATTAGCAAGGATGATGACAATGTTATTGAGAGTAAAAAAGAAGGATTTTATTATCCACTTAAAAGGAATTAAAACCATTATTCATAATCATATGTCCAATGTAAATGAAGGAAAAAGTGGGTGGTATAGCCCAAATGTGTGAATGTGGTTAGTGTAATTTGGCTTACTGCTGAGGAAACAGGTACATCCGGACTAGGGTGCAGGCAGTGGTGGAGAGGAATCCTGTGGGCTGCTCTGCTGGAAGATAGGTCGCCAACTGTGAGAAGGTACTACTCACAGAACAGGATGCTGCCTCGGTTGTCCCCGGAACTCGCGCACCAGAAATTATACCAGGGTGGACTGAAGTTATAAAGGAGACAATGGGGTGGTACTATGGCAGGGCAAATTGGCAGTTAAAGGGACCTGCTCTCAATATGAATCAAACCCATTTGTAACCAAATTTATAAACTGTCACCAACATACTATAAATAAGTATCCAACTATTAATAAAATATTTCTATCGCTGGTGGGACTGCCCAGTAGCCCAAATCTTTTCGGCTGAAATTTTCACCATACTATCCACACTCAGTACTATCACTCTACGACCTGATCCAACAACAGCCCTACTCAATCAACGCCCCCATGGCATCTCCAATTCGCAATTCAAGCTCCTTCTGCAAGTCACGACGGCGGCTAAGCAGGTTATAGCGAAATCCTGGAAATCCCCCACTCTAAGTGTTGCGGCTGTCAAAACCAAATTAACACAAGCCATGATACATGCAAAGGTGGAAGCCACAATTCTTGACACGATCCCTAAATTCTTGTGCATATGGACTCCCTGGGTAGAGCGCTTCCTTCCATCTAACTTTGACGAATCACTCCTCCTCCCTTGATTTGTGTGCTATGCCCCATGGGTATTGTTAATAGCCCTTCATACATAGCTCGTAGGGGCTGTCGTACACTCGATAAAGTTCATGGAGTCATTGTTGCTATTCCTTCTCCCCTGCCCCCCTTCCCCTGTTTGACCCCCCTCTAAACTTTCCTCTCTCTTTAATGCCCTTGTGAGCCATTACCCTGATTGACCAAAGATATAACGTTATTTGTCATACATTCTTAACTACCTGTTTTTGTCGGAAATATATAGACATTTGTACCGTGATCTTCACTTCTTCTGTTTTGCTATCACTACAATGTCCAATGTATAATGGTAATGTCTCCCAGTTTATGTTACTCTGGTTTACTATTAATAAAAATTGTTTGAACAAGAAAATATTTCTATCGCATCAAAAAAGTAAACAACAAAATAATTGAGAGATAATTGGTGTGTCATCATTTCAGAAATAATATATAGAATTCTCTAAAAAAAATTTCTCAAAGTTTCAACCTGTTTAAGATAGTCTTCAGTTCTCAAGCAATTGTGTCTTTAAAACTAGGCCCTGTTAATTCCTTTCAAGTGCATAATAAAATCCTTCTTTTTTTTTACTCTGGATAACATTGTCGTCATCATCCTTGCTAATTTTTAATACTTTACTGGTCACTATTAATTTGGCTCTATACCAACAGCGCTCAGTATCAGTTACTGTTCTATTCACATATGTCTCCTATGGGTTATTGAGCAGCTGTGGTTATAGCCTTCACAAGCTACAAGACCTCATTTTTGGTTACCAGTGCCCACGAAGTTTCAGATCTTTTTTTACACAGTTTAGGCAGGATAGGTAGCAGAAGGGGGAAGAGTACATTTTAAGAATAATTAGTGTAAGGCGGGTATTTTACTTTAACGGCAATGAGAATGTGTGAGAGGGGCTGAGGTCAGTGTTTGGCACTACCAAGATGTATGAAAACTTTCAGATTACAGACCTAGTTTAGGACTCATGAGCTGCAGAATTACCACCCTTATTTTAGTGTTTGGGCCCATTCAATGTGATTAGGTACCAACAGGTGTACTTTTACATGTCTGTGGATGGTGGTTGCGTAAGCAGAAAGCGATACTTATGTCATGGTGTTTTTTTCTTTCTAAATGAAGCAGTACGTATTGTACAGTGTGAAACCATCTACGTACTGTGTCTACTGTATGGATGTGTACATCCAACAGCCATGTGTGCTATAAACCAATAAAAATATAGTCTTAGAAAACATGATGCAAGGAGTGCAAAAAAGCATGAAAAACTAATTGAAAATCATTTTACTAAACACATTACCTAGACCCATACAAGGTGGGTTCTGATTGATTAGTATGGTTAGTGCATTATGATCATTCACAATTGCAGAGTTTTGCATCAGTCCAATATCAGTATATAGGACTGTTGGACTCAGTTGGCTTCAGTTTTCAGGGCAGGTATCAGACCAAAGCAACCAAGGCTATTTGGGTGAATGTGTGGCGTTTTAATACTGTACTAATCCTTACTGGATTTTTTTTTTTTTTTCTCTACAGTTGTGGATCCATTCTGCCATCGTTGTCGCAATTTTACGGCAGAAGGTAAACGGAAGCCAGTGGGAGAGGATTTCATGAAGTTTCTGCCCATGTTCCTCTCTGACAATCCTAACCCGAAGTGTGGTAAAGGGTAGGTTCCCAAGATGGTTGTGCATGTTCGGTTTCTTTAAGTACTGTATTTATGGCAGCCTAACCACATTGCAGTCATTTTTGAATGTCTGAGATTGTGTGCCTGGTTTAGTGGTTTGTAAAAGCAGGTATAGAAATTTCGTTTATATTTGTTATAAGGAAGTAGGATGGATTCTATAACTTCTTTATTGAGGAAGTTCCTGTGTCTGGGTATCTGTTATGACTGATGTTTTTATAGAGACAGTGTCCTTCATTTTTAAAATAGGTATTTCTATTCTTTAAAACCTAGTATGTGAAGGCTGTATAGGTTTAAAAAAAAAATTGTTGAAGGCCAGGGGCTGTCGAACTTGTTTTTTTTTTTTTTTTTACTTTGTTATAGTTGATTAATTAAATTCATTATTTTATAAGACTTCGTTCTATATACACTGCTCCATAAAATTAAAGGAACACTTTTTTTTAATCAGAGTATAGCATCAAGTCAAACTCCTGGGATATTTATCTGGTCAGTTAAATAGCAGAGGGGGTTGTTAATCAGTTTCAGCTGCTTTTGGTGTTAATGAAATTAACAGGTGCACTAGATGGGCAATAATGAGACGGCCCCCAAAACAGGAATGGTTTGACAGGTGGAGGCCACAGATATGTTTTTTTTCCCTACTCATCTTTTCTGTTTTTCACGAGTTTTACTTTCGGCTAGGGTCAGTGTCACTACTGACAGCATGAGGCGATAACTGGATACTACAGAGGTAGCACAGGCAGTCCAACTCCTCCAGGATGGCACATCAATACGTGCCATTGCCAGAAGGTTTGCTGTGTCTCCCAGCACAGGCTCAAGAGCATGGAGGAGATTCCAGGAGACAGGCAGTTACTCTAGGAGAGCTGGACAGGGCCATAGAAGGTCCTTAACCCATCAGCCAGACCAGTATCTGCACCTTTGTGCAAGGAGGAACAGGATGAGCACTGCCAGAGCCCTACAAAATGACCTCCAGTAGGCCACTGGTGTGAATGTCTCTGACCAAACAATCAGAAAAAGACTTCATGAGGGTGGCCTGAGGGCCCGATGTCCTCTAGTAGGCCCTGTGCTCACTGCCCGGCACCATAGAGCTTGATTGGCATTTGCCATTGAACACCAGAATTGGCAGGTCTGCCAGTGGAGCCCTGTGCTTTTCACAGACGAGAGCAGGTTCACCCTGAGCACATGTGACAGATGTGAAAGGGTCTGGAGAAGCCATGGAGAACGTTATGCTGCCTTTAACAGCATTCAGCATGACCTTTTTGGTGGTGGGTCAGTGATGGTCTGGGGAGGCATATCCGTAGAGGGACACAGGCATCTACAGGCTAGACAATGGCACCCTGACTGCAATTAGGTATCGGGATGAAATCCTTGGACCCATTGTCAGACCTTACGCTGCTGCAGTAGGTCCTGGGTTCCTCCTGGTGCATGACAATGTGAGAGTATGCAGGCAGTTCCTTGAGGATGAAGGAATTGATACCATTGAATGGCCCCCACTCTTGCCTGACCTAAATCCAATAGAACACCTCTGGGATATCATGTTTCGGTCCATCCTATGCCGTCAGGTAGCAACTCAGATGGTCCAGGAGCTCAGTGATGCCCTGGTCCAGATCCTGGAGGAAATACCCCAGGACACCATCCGTCTCATTAGGAGCATGTTCCAACGTTGTCAGGCATGCATACAAGCGTGTGGGGCCATACAAACTACTGAGTACTATTTCGCGTGGCTGCAATGAAATTTCAGCAAAATGGACTAGCCTGATGCATCGTTTTTTCACTTTGGTTTTTGGGGTGTCTCTGAATTCAGTCCTCTGTAAGTTGATAATTTCATTTCCATAAAATGATGGGTCATCCTTACCTTCCTAACACATTACCCAGTCCATATCAGTATAGATATCCAGCATGATATTTTTCTGCATTGAGATCTGATGTGTTTTCAGAGTGTTCATTTTCATATTATTATTTATTTTATTTTTTTTAAGCAGTGTATCATCTACACATTTTGTTCCTTATTTTTTTTTTTTTACAGCATATTTCTTTATATATATTTTATTTTCAGCTTTTATTAGCCCAGTCCCCATTTACAGTGTTGTGTTTAAAAAATGCCATGTGTTGGTGGGTGTAGATAATAATGCATTTTGATGAAGGATTTCTTGGGGGCTTTTTGGCATACAGTACGTCTGACCATTGGAGGAGAGCAGGTTCAGTTCTCAGCATAGCCAGAAAGGTGACCACTCTGTGCTCTCATTCCTAGTGTACTCCGTGTTTAATAGGAAGATAGAGACTGGCAGGCACACCAGGGATTTCACACAAAGGAAGCAATACAAAGAGAACAGGATACTTTTCATACAAGTACATTGTACAGCAGGCACATATCAGGAATATGAATTGTTGGGTTTACATACTTTTTAATGTGGGATTAACAACTTTTTAATGTAACCTTTGTAATCTTGCGTTTCTACTCCATACTTTTACAAAAGTTTAAAGAAAAATGTTACTATATGTTAAAAAATTGTGCTTTTTTGTTTTGTTTTGGTTTTTTTTTGTTCAAAAGATAAAGCATAATTAAGAATAGAATTTGGTTTTGAATGGATTGATTCTCACCTGGTAAAAGTTGTGAGTTGGAATACAAGTGACTGTTTCTTTGTAATCCTCAGTGGACATGCTGCATACAGCACTGCCGTGGACCTAATATCCAATAATACAGATGTGGGGGCCACTTACTTTATGACTTACCATACCATCCTGCATAACTCCTCAGACTATATCGATGCCCTAAGAAAAGCACGAATGATATCCAAGAATATCACTGACAGCATTGATGTCCCTGGCAAAAATTACAGTGTCTTTGCTTACAGGTATTTTCTATGGCTGATTAATTTACTTTGGAGGTGTAGGAACATATAAAGGTCACAACAGTTTAAGTACATAGTATGTCATTGTTTTACCATTATAAATGTTTCGCCCCCAGAATCCTTCCCTTGAACACTCCTGTTAGTCTTTCTTGACTAGTAATAGTCCATACCATGCAGTTTAGGGGCGTTTTTGTTTTTAGTTTTCGGATAGAGGAGAAAGATTAAAACACCTGATAGGGAGATTCTCCCTCTCTATTTGTACTGTTTACTGTTATCACCGAAAGTGAAAGAAAATCCCAAATTTTGAGTGGTCACTAGAATGTGAATGGATGGGAAATATTCCAAGGAAGGCACTAGTTCTGGTGACTTCCAGGTATTTCCCCACTTTAGAGGAATTTCCCCTGTTGTGGCTATGGGTGGGGAAGTGAAAGGAAATGTCCCCAATGGGACACAAATAAAAAAAACAACACTTAGCAGGGGTTATAGTATATACTGCTATAGGTGTGACTTGAGACTGCAAATGGTGCCAACATCCCAGAAAATCTATATAAAGAAAAAACGTGTGGTGGGTGTATGGGACATTCAAGGCACCCAATCAAAACACAACTGTATAAATACAAAATCATTATTTTTTTGTTGCAGCATAAGAATCAAGTTAACATACTGTAAGCTGAACACATATCAGAATCGTTATACTCATAGCTACAAAACATACTGATGTAAAGAACTCAGTGATCAATGTTTGGACTTAAACATAAGTGAAATGTCTGTATATACTATAGATTCCAGGGCTTGAAAAAGCCGCTCGCCAAGTGCGAGGAGAAATTCCTCTGTGGCGAGCACAGATGAGGCATAGAGCGACTGCACCTGCATTCCAAGCCTCATTGTGAAGCCGAGTTCCAGTTTACAACTTCTGGTTTCTGGCTTCTTTGGCTCCGCTGAGAGGAGACACCCTCTCCACCGCTGCAGGGGACTAGGAGTAAGTACTGTATACAACATGTCATTACACTATAATGGAGTACAGGGGAGCTGGGATATACATTACTGTATACACGTCATATCACTATAATGGAGTACAGGGGAGCTGGGATATACATTACTGTATACATGTCATATCACTATAATGGAGTACAGGAGAGCCGGGATATACATATTGTATACATGTCATATCACTATAATGAAGTACAGGGGAGCTGGGATATACATACTGTATACATGTCATATCACTATAATGGAGTACAGGGGAGCTAGGATATACATTACTGTATACATGTCATATCACTATAATGGAGTACAGGGGAGCTGGGATATACATTTCTGTCTACATGTCATATCACTATAATGGAGTACAGGGGAGCTGGGATATACATTACTGTATACATGTCATATCACTATAATGGAGTACAGGGGAGCTGGGATATACATTACTGTATACATGTCATATCACTATAATGGAGTACAGGGGAGCTGGGATATACATTACTATGTACATGTCATATCACTATAATGGAGTACAGGGGAGCTGGGATATACATTTCTGTCTACATGTCATATCACTATAATGGAGTACAGGGGAGCTGGGATATATATACTGTATACATGTCATATCACTATAATGGAGTACAGGGGAGCTGGGATATACATTACTGTATACACGTCATATCACTATAATGGAGTACAGGGGAGCTGGGATATACATTACTGTATACATGTCATATCACTATAATGGAGTACAGGGGAGCTGGGATATACATTACTGTATACATGTCATATCACTATAATGGAGTACAGGGGAGCTGGGATATACATTACTATGTACATGTCATATCACTATAATGGAGTACAGGGGAGCTGGGATATACATTTCTGTCTACATGTCATATCACTATAATGGAGTACAGGGGAGCTGGGATATATATACTGTATACATGTCATATCACTATAATGGAGTACAGGGGAGCTGGGATATACATTACTGTGTACAGTTTTATATTTTTGGACTCTTTATTCTAAAGAAAAATGTAATTTCATAAGCTTTAAGGGGGTATGGTTGGGGGCAGGCTGGGGGTGGGGTTTGGGCCGGGGTTGGGGGGTGGACCTGGGCAAGGTTGGGTGGGGCAACTGGTGGAGAGTAAGTTTTGTGACCAGCTAGTAGGTCTGGAATCTAAATTTTAACCCCTGCTATAGATGCCCAATACGTTTCAAGTGTTCACTTCTTCAGTGGCAAAATTCAACAAAGTCGATAAGCATTATGTATTTGTCAGCTTAAAGCAATCTAAAACTAACTCAGCCTGTGCAGTCCTGTATTGATCAGACTCACAGGGAAAGGGTACAAGTACACGCAGAGACCCCAGGGTCAGCAGAGGCACCATACAAATAGTAGATATGGTGGTGTAGCGCTTTTTAAAGGCACAGTAACAGGTCTTTGAGAGCCAGAATTCTTGCTGTTTCTTAGGTGTTCAAATACTTATGTTCAGCAGTGCAAGACAAATACATTCTTTAAAAATCATACAATGTGATTTCCTGAATTTTTTTTAAATTCTGTCTCTGAGTGGGAATGCACCTACAATGTGAATTTCAGACCCCTCAATGATTTCTAAGTGATAGGACTTGCAAAATCGCAGGGTGTTCAAATACTTATGTTCCTCACTGTATAGGTGTACAGTGGTGCACCTAATATGTATCCCAAATACATGCCATCAAGAATGTGACTAAATATAAGTGAGGTGATTTAAGGGAAACAAATATTAACCAAATATAAATACATGTGATCATAAATGAACAATATTCATAAATCATATAGCACAAAGTCCCAAACGTATAACTGATGAATCAATCTTCGACCATGAAAATTAATATGTTCTCAAGTGCATCAAACCATCTCTCACCGTCTAGTGTGCACACTTACCTCCAATCTGGGCAGCACAGTGGCTAAATGGTTAGCATTCTGCCTGGCAGCACTAGGGTCGTTGGTTCGAATCCCAACCACAGCACCACCTGCCTTGAGTTTGCATGTTCTCCCTGTGTCTGCGTGGGTTTCCTCCGGGTACTCCGGTTTCCTCCCACACTCCAAAGACATGCTGTTAGGTTAATTGGATCCTGTCTAAATTGGCCCTGTTATGTGTATGCATGAATGTGAGTTAGGGACCTTAGCGGGGCAGACTGACAACTCATGGGGCCCCCACGCAGTAGGGGCCCTGTGTCCTTGCCCACACTCAAAAAAAGCCTATAAAAGGTACCAGGGGCATTTCATGGGGCCCCCTACTGACCCCGGGCCCTCGGGCAGTGCCTGAGTTCTCGAATGGTCAGTCTGCCCCTGGACCTTAGATTGTACACCCCTTGAGGGTTAGGGACTGATGTGGATGTACAATATATATATGTAAAGCACTGCGTAAATTGATGGCGCTAAATAAGTACCTGAAATAAATAAATTAATAAATAAATCTTTGACCCTGAGTCATAATGCATAACAAATCACGAGTGTAGTTCCAGGTGGGATGAATCTCACTCTCTGGATGGACACAGGATCAGCTTCCACACAGCCCACGGTTAATCAACCATTACAATGGTAAGGCATCTTTACAAAACTCCTCCACTCTCCCAATGGCTCATAAACAGGGAATCAGAGAAAAAGCCACCATAGTGTAATAGAGTAAAGTTTATTATACCATATACAAATGCCAAAGACCTACTCACACATTAAAATCGGGTCATAGACCCACCAGGCATGAACTGTATAACCTACAGTCAGGGTGCTTGCATAGGGAGTCCAAAGATGGATGCCGTCCGTACGTAATTGTGTCACCATGCTCTAGTCCGATATGTTGCGTCCACAGCAGGGAAGTCTTTCCTTTGGGTCTGATCACTGCTGGGTTAACTTTAAATTGCTTGAGCCTGGGTTCACACTGATGTGGTCCGGAATTCACAGCGTTTTCTGTGCGATATCTGCACTGCATCAGAATCTCACCCCATTCATGCGAACCACTGCGGGTGTGTATGTTAAGATAACACCCTGAAATCGGTCCGTAAAATGCGGTGCGACATGCAGAATTGGATCGCATAGGTGTGAATACCCATGTGATCTGATTCTAGTGCAGCCCAAAAAAAAGGGTCCTGCACCTTTTTGGTGCGGGAGTGGTGCGATTAGTGCCATACAAAATGTATGGCTCCAATCGCACCACACAGAAATCGCATGTGATTTGCACAGGAATGCAGTGTGGTTCCTGTGAGAATAACATGCGATGTACCGCACCGCATATATGTGAACCCGGGCTTAGGCTAACAAATACAGATCTCTCATGGACTTTGTTTAATGTTACCCCTGAAGAGAACACTTGAAATGCATTGGGCATCTTTAGTATATATGGACATTTTGCTAAAATTCAAATATTGATCATTGAGTTCTCTACAGTATGTTTTACATCTATGAAAATAGAACAATTTTGTTATATTATTTAATGTGGGGAACAATAATATTAGGTTTTGTATTTATATGTTTGTATTTTGATTGAGTGCCCTGAAAGTCACATACACCCGCAACGCATTTTTCTTTCTACATGACAGGGGTTATAACCCTCCTTTATTCTATCCAAATTGAAAAAAAAGCTTTGCCTTTAAGGGTTGTTAGTATTCAATGGAGCAAGGATAGAGGCAAGTACAATGTGTATTATACTAGAATGAGGAATAAAGCAAATTATTCAGCAGACATTTTTTGTGTCCTTGAAAAAATTAATTGAAGGCTTTATCTTTTTCTTTTTTTTTTGCAGTGTTTTCTATGTGTTCTATGAACAGTATTTAACTGTTGTGGATGATACAGTGTTCAATCTTTGCCTGTCACTGGCTGCCATATTCTTTGTGACTGTCATTCTGCTGGGCTTCGAGATCTGGTCTGCTATTCTGATGTGCCTCACCATCTCCATGATCCTTGTCAATATGTTTGGAGTCATGTGGCTCTGGAACATCAGTCTGAATGCTGTATCTCTGGTGAATTTAGTCATGGTAAGTTCTTGAGTGTAGAATTCTATTTGTTATGTAATCCTAAACCAATTACCAAGTATCAATAGCCAAAACATTGCTATGTTTTAGATGGAATAAGGAAGGGTGAACAATACTGTCAGGATCTTTTCTTTTCTCTATATCCTATTGGGCAGATTTCCTTTCACTTCTGTCCTACAGTCAGGCAGGATGTAGGAGGAAATCTCTCCAAAGTGAGTGAAAAAAGCTGGCCATACATGTTCTGGTGTTTTCTTTTTGTTTTTTTTTTGTTTTTTTTTTTTTAGAAAAAATCCCCACAAAAATGAGGTAGACAGAGGAATCCCCTACGCCAGGACATTATATTCTGACAATGGCACCCTCTGCTGACCGAATACATTGGATCAGCAGTTGCAGTTGACTGGCTGCAGCTGTTGATCAAGGAAATCTTCCAATATGTCTTTGGTGGGGATGGCCAAGCACTGATCAAAATTCTGATTCCTGCTAAACCCGATGATGTTCAATCAGTGTATGGCCAGCTTTAGGCCTCTTTCACACAGGCTTCAGCTTGTATAAGAGCAGAGTTTCAGCAAGTTTTGATGAAGCTAGCGAGCGCCAGCACTACTTGAAGCTAATTGAAAGCCTGCTAGCAGTAGCTTGTTTACAGGGATTTTAAGCAGTATATAACGCTTCCGAACAGGAGCTTAAAGGGTGCTTTAACTGCATGGCCCTGAGTGTACGCAAATATGCGGCCTCTTTGGGGGGGCTGAGCCTTGGCGCCAAGGGGCCACCTATTTGTGTACCCAATGTAAACAAAAGTTGTGCTGAGCCGGCATGTTTATCGGCGCGCCACGGAAAGGTCTCAAGTGCTAATTACGGTCGGAAACTTTCCAACCAGGTGACTGTCTTGACAGCCAATCACGGTGGTCACATGACCCTAAACCCTGCCCTGCCTCCCAGCCAAAGAGTAAAGACTTAGAGAAAGCTGTTTGAAGCTTGCTGAAAGCTTTTCAAAAAAGCTTGCTGTTCACACTGCTCTTATACAAACTGAAGCCTGTGTGAAACAGGCCTTATACAGCTGTAACCTAAAAATGTGCCACAGCTGGAAGATTTCCCCTCACCTCCTGTTCTGGTAACAAATATAGCACTTTGGATCTTTTCTCATTTTTAGTCCTGGTGACAATGTTCACCGGGACAAATAGAGGATGAATCTCTTACAGGGTAACAGAAATGAAAGCCTGACAGTTTTCACACTTCCACACAATATCCTTACAAAGAAATGAAGGGTCTATCATTTTTATCATAGGTGTAGTTTAAATGATAGAAACAGAATATCAACCAAAAATCCAGAAAAAAACACATGATACAAATGTTATAATTGAATTGCAGTCAGCGAGTAAAATAAGTATTTGATCCCCAAGCAAAACATGACTTCGCACTTGGTGGAGAAACCCTTGTTGGGCAGCACAGAGGTAAGACGTTTCTTGCAATTGGTTACCAGGTTTGCACACATCTCCGAAGGGATTTTGGTCCACTCTTCTTTACAGATCTTTTCTAAATCCTTAAGGTTTCTTGGCTGTCGCTTGGCAACTTGAAGTTTCAGCTCCCTCCATAAATTTTCTTCTTGAGCCGCTCCTTTGTTGCCTTGGCAGAATGTTTTGGGTCATTGTCATACTGGAAGACCCATCCACGACCCATCGTCGGTATTCTGGCTGAGAGAAGAAGGTTCTCCTCCAAGATTTTACAATACATGGCCCCGTCCATTGGCCCTTTAGTGCAACAAAGGTGGCCTGTACCTTTTTAGCAGAGAAATGGCCCCAAAGCCTAATGTTTCCCCCATCTGTGCTTGACTGTAGGGATGGTGTTCTTAGGGTCATAGTCAACATGTTTCTTACTCCAAACACGGCGAGTCGAGTTAATGCCAAAGAGCTAAATTTTGGTCTCATCTGACCACAGCACTTTCTCCCAATCCTTCTCTGAATAATTTAGATGTTCATTGGCAAACTTCAGATGGGACTGTACGTGTGCCTTCTTGAGGAGGGGGACCTTGCGGGCACTGCAGGATTTCAATCCATGGCGGCATATTGTGTTACCAACGGTTTGTTTGGTGACTGTGGACCCAACTGCCTTGAGATCATTCACAAGCTCCTCCCAGTAGTTCTGGGCTGATCCCTCACTTTTCTCATGATCATCCTTTACCCCATGAGGCGAAGTTTTGCATGGATCTCCAGACCGAGGGCGATTGATGGTTTTTTTGTATTTCTTCCATTTGCGAATAATCACTCTCAACAGTTGTCTCCTTCTCACCAAGCTTCCTGCTGATTGTCTTGTAGCCTATTCCAGCCTTGTGCAGGTCTACAATCTTGTCCCTAATGTCTTTTGACAGCTCTTTGGTCTTGCCCATGGTGGTGAGGTTTGAATGGAAGAACCTGTGGACAGGTGTCTATTATACACATAACGAGTTGTCATTAGGAGCACCTTCTTAAATTGACAGGACTAATCTGTGTACCACATGAGCACATAGCCAGTCTGTGGGAGCCAGAATTATTGTTGGTTGGTGGGGGGATCAAATACTTATTTTACTCACTGAACTGCAACTCAATTTATAACATTTGTATCATGTGTTTTTTCTGGATTTTTGGTTGATATTCTGTCTCCATCATTTAAAATACACCTATGATAAAATGATAGACTCTTCATTTCTTTGTAAGTGGGCAAACCTACAAAATCTGCAGGAGATCAAATAATTATTGTCCCCACTGTAAATGCACTTTAACCAAGTTATTCATGCATGGAGATTAGCACGATAGCTGTATAGCCTTGCATACTGCACGGAACTAAATCTATCATTTCTACGTGTTATGCGTTTTGTGTTTTATCCTTCTGTTCTGTTTTCTCACCATTTCAATGTACCATAACATTCTGGTGACATTTTAAACCTTGCAGTGTTGTGGTATTTCTGTGGAGTTCTGCAGTCATGTGACCAGAGCCTTCTCAGTCAGCACAAAGGGAAGCCGAGCTCAGCGTGCGCAGGACGCCTTGGCACACATGGGTAGTTCGGTAAGTGTGCTAATGAAGCAACCGCCATTATTTGTGTTTCTAGGCAGTGCTAGACCAGCCTTTGTCACCTAGGGTTCCTCCAGAGGTTGTTGGGGGTCCTTGATCAATAAATTTCTGCCTCTTAGATAAGTAATCACTGATGCCAATGATCGTTTTAGCTATATATATGAGGACCATTCTTTCCACTGACCATCATGCTGATGAACCATGAGCTGTAGATAAAGTAATTAGCAGAGGTTCCCTGACCATGAAAAGCGATATCAAGGGATCCTACGTGTCCTAGAGGTCACACTAAACTATCAAAACCTACTGCATACATTAAAGTGTTACTAAACCCACAACAGTAAAATCAGTCTGTATATGCAGTGAAGCATGCTTGTTATACTCACTGTGGAACCTGAGGGGTTAATCCTCTGCTTTGTGTAAAAGGAATGTTTGATCCTGTCTTCTCTAAACCTTCCCTTCTACTTTCCCCAATCCATCTGCTGATAGAACAGAGCCTTGGGGGCAAGCTGCACCTGCTCAATATGGTGTGTGCTGATTGAGAGTTTTTGTTTTTGATTTTTTTTTTCTTCTTCTTGGGAGGGTGCATGTGATCAGCACAGGGCCAATCAGCACTGACCACGCAGAGGTCAGGGGTTATGCAGTGTCATAGAAATATCAGGGGAGACTAAAAACCCCTCCTACAAGCTTTAACCAGTGCTCTGCTGGACAATGAGAGATGTCACAAGACTGCTATATACTGCTGATGAGAAGTTATTTAGGAGTATTTATATTTACTAAAATAATTACATTTCCATGTTGTGTGTACTGTGGAGACCAGATATAGTGAATGCAGGCTCCTGGGTTTAGTAACACTTTAACCTTCCCTAATACATGCTGCTCACATTGATGCATAGCAGTTCCATGACAGAAGTTTTACTAAGCAGTACTGCTTAACCCCATCCTGCTGAGCATACGCAAATATACTGCCCACTAGACTGGGGTTTTTTTTTTCATAAGGCCACATATTTGTGTATCTGGCTTTGTGCTCACTGAGAGCCCCGGGTCCCGTACTAATGATTGGGACCCAAAACTCCCAACTCCAGGTCAAATGATCGCTGGGATAGCCTCTGTAGCCTCTGATTGGCTATCACAGTGATCGGTCACTGTGAAGCCCGCCCCCATGTTTTTTTTTTTCTCTGAATGGAGGAGAGATGCATTGTATTTCTCTCTCCTTTGAGATAGAAAAAAAAAAACAACGTAGATCAAGTTTTTGATCTAGGTCTGTATCTAGATCAAATTAAATTGGTATCCATGTCAGTGTGTTTAGGGTATGATATATATAAAAATTAAAAAAAAAAAAAAAGCAAAATGCACACGATTGTTTCTGGGTTGTACTACGGGTACTAACCTACACACATATGGTATCGTTGCAATAGTCTGGAACAGGAACATTTATTTTGGGTTGTTTTTTTTTGGTGGTAGGTTATGATAATAGCAGGAAATATACAACTAAATTTTTTTTAAAAATGCTTCTTTTACTATTTTGAGACAGTTTTCCTTCAATAATAAGAAAAAAAAATCAGGCGATATTCATTACTATTTACCACCAAATGAAAGCCCAATTTATCTTGATAAAACAAGGTATAATCCACCTAGCTACACAAAGTAGTTGAGTATATACGGTATGTTCTTAAAAACTGTACATATCACCACGAGTATAAGCCGAGTTTTTTCAGCACATTTTTTGTGCTGAAAAACGGCCCCCTCGGCTTATACTCGAGTCAACGTCTGCAGGGGGCTGCTGTCTCTTACCTGGCTCCGGTCCCACGACGATCCGGTCCAGGAAGCGCAGCTGCTCCTTCATTCGGTTCGTCCACTGGATGTTCGCACGGCTGCTCGGCTCCGCCTTCTCACCGGTGATTGGCCGCCAGAACTGTAGCTCAGGAAAGGCACACAGGCGGCCAATCACCGGCGAGGAGGCGGAGCTGAGCGGCCCCGCGAAAATCAAGTGAAGGAGATGCAGGTAAGTGTGCCGTGCTTAGGTGCTGCTGCAACCAAATATGCTGGCTGCAGCAGCACCATAATGGAACAGGGGTCAGCAAGTGTCAGTGGGAGGAATAGTGCCCCATCATTGGTGTCACTGATACCAATGATGGGGCATTATTCCTCCCACTGACACCAACGATGGGGCACTTTTCCTCCCCCCCACTGACACCAACGATTGGGCACTATTCCCCCCCCCCCACTGACACCAATGATGGGGCACTATTCCACCCCCCACTGACACCAATCATGGAGCACTATTCCACCCCCCACTGACACCAATCATGGGATACTATTCCTCCCCCCCCCCACTGACGCCAACGATGGGGCACTTTTCCTCCCCCCCACTGACACCAACGATGGGGCACTATTCCTCCACCCCCCACTGACACCAATGATGGGACACTATTCCTCCCACTGACACCAATGTTGGGACACTATTCCTCCCACTGACACCAAAGATGGGGCACTATTCCACTGACACCAATAATGGGGTGCTATTCCCCCCACTGATACTAATGATGGGGCACTATTCCTGCCACTGATACCAATGATGGGGCACTATTCCTCCCACTGACACCAATGATGGGGCGCTATTCCACTGACACCAATGATGGGGCACTATTCCTCCCACTGATACCAATGATGGGGCACTATTCCTGCCACTGACACCAATGATGGGGCACTATTCCTGCCACTGACACCAATGATGGGGCACTATTCCTGCCACTGACACCAATGATGGGGCACTATTCCTGCCACTGACACCAATGATGGGGCACTATTCCTGCCACTGACACCAATGATGGGGCACTATTCCTGCCACTGACACCAATGATGGGGCACTATTCCTGCCACTGACACCAATGATGGGGCACTATTCCTGCCACTGACACCAATGATGGGGCACTATTCCTGCCACTGACACCAATGATGGGGCACTATTCCTCCCACTGACACCAATGATGGGACACTATTCCTCCCACTGACACCAAAGATGGGGCACTATTCCACTGACACCCCACTGACACCATAATGGGGCGCTATTCCCCCCACTGATACCAATGATGGGGCACTATTCCTGCCACTGATACCAATGATGGGGCACTATTCCTCCCACTGACACCAATGATGGGGCACTATTCCACTGACACAAATGATGGGGCACTATTCCTCCCACTGACACCAATGATGGGGCACTATTCCTCCCACTGACACCAATGATGGGGCACTATTCCTCCCACTGACACCAATGATGGGGCACTATTCCTCCCACTGATACCAATGATGGGGCACTATTCCCGCCACTGACACCAATGATGGGGCACTATTCCCCCACTGATACTAATGATGGGGCACTATTCCTGCCACTGATACCAATGATGGGGCACTATTCCTCCCACTGACACCAATGATGGGGCGCTATTCCACTGACACCAATGATGGGGCACTATTCCTCCCACTGATACCAATGATGGGGCACTATTCCTGCCACTGACACCAATGATGGGGCTCTATTCCTGCCACTGACACCAATGATGGGGCACTATTCCTGCCACTGACACCAATGATGGGGCACTATTCCTGCCACTGACACCAATGATGGGGCACTATTCCTCCCACTGACATCAATGATGGGGCACTATTCCTCCCACTGACACCAATGATGAGGCACGATTCTTCCCACTGGTGTTCCCACCCTCGGCTTATACTCGAGTCAATAGTTTTTCCCAGTTTTTTGTGGTAAAATTAGGTACCTCGGCTTATATTCGGGTCGGCTTATACTCGAGTATATACGGTATCTCAAAATTGCAGAATTGTGCTTAGGCATTAATATTTGTTTTACCTTTAGGCACGAAGGGTTTAATGCTGCAATTACATTTATTACATTGATATCTGCCCTTGGGTTACATGGCTAAAATTAAATTGTGCCTGTACTTCAAGTAATGCTTTCATTAGTGCTTAATGTCTTCGTTTTAAAAGTGTATATGAAGGAAAACAGTCTGTGGATGAGGATTTTAATGCATGTAACCTATAAATTCACTTTGAACTAGTGAAAATGGCAGCATAGGGCCAGTAGGTTTGATAGCTTTGTAAAGCCCACATACACTTAAAAATGCTGTTTTTGTTACTGTAACATAACATGGAGGTTGGATCCAACCAACATTTAATATACATCTGATTTGTCCTAGGTCTTCAGTGGAATCACACTGACGAAATTTGTGGGTATTGGCGTCTTGGGCTTGTCCAAATCTCGGATATTCAAGATTTTCTACTTCAGGATGTACTTATCTATGGTGCTTCTTGGAGCTGCTCATGGCCTAATATTTCTGCCAGTCCTTCTTAGTTACATTGGTGAGTGCGGGGACAATGACTAGTAGAATATACAGGGAAGGACTTAATGAGTTTTATAGATGCTTAAGAACTCCTGAAACACACAAAAAAAATGACTTTGTGCATTGAAGCCAGGAATCAAGATAAGATCATACAGGACAATGCCAATTTAATGCTGCTTATTTCTGGGTGGATTGCTGTGTCTTCGAGGCATCTTCTGTCTGAATAAATGATTGTGCCTTACACAGTCATGCGTAGCTATTTGTGCCTTAGGCAAGCCAAGCTAATGCCAACAAGCTTGTTTTAATTCTTAAATATAGTGAACAGCACTGTCACATGAGAACTTTTTTCTTTTAGCCTTGGAAACCCCGCATTATGCGCACATCTTCTTTGTAGCCTATACATGCTGTTTGTGAAGAGTGTTGCTCTGTTAGAATCTGAAATGATTAATGGGGCAGCACAGTGGATTAATGGTTAGCACTTCCGCCTGGCAGTATTAGGGTTGCTGGTTCAAATCTCAACCACAGCACCACCTGCCTGGAGTTTGCATGTTCTCCCTGTGCCTGTGTGGGTTTCCTCCAGGTTCTCCGGTTTCCTCCTACACTCCAAAGACATGCTGGTAGGTTAATTGTCTCCTGTCTAAATTGGCCCTAGTATGGGTATGTATTAATGTGAGTTAGGGACATTAGATTGTAAGCTCCATGAGGGTTAGGGACTTGTGTGAATGTACAATATATATGTAAAGCGCTGTGTAAATTGACAGCGCTATATAAGTACCTGAAATAAAAAATAAATTAATGGAGCTGCCCCTTAAACTAAAATACTTGAAGCATCTTGTGGGTTTAGATATTAAAGCGGACTAATGTCCCCCAATCCAAAACTCTGTGAAAAGTGGAAAAAAAAAAAAACATGGGGGGAAAGTTCTATACTTAAGACTTTACCCCTGCATTCCGGTTCTGTCTGCAGTGGCTAGGTGAGGGTGATGTCACTGTCATTCCAGCAAGATGTAAAAAGATGCTGAGACTATTCTCATGAGACTGGGCTACTTGGCATTCCTCTGGTTCTAACTGGCAAGATCAAGACATTACCCCTTAACCACTTGCCTACCAGGCACTTTTACCCAGGCCAAGTTTTAGTTTTCGCACTTTGACAGTTGCATTTGTTTTCACACAAATAGAGTGTTCTTTTGAGTTTTATTTTTTTGCTAAAGAAACAGAAAATACTGAAAATTTTAAAAACATTTTTTTTTCTCTTAATTTATATTATAAAATTTTGCAAACAGGTAATTTTTCTCCACTGATGTACGTTGATGAGGCGGCACTGATAGGCAGCACTGGTGGGCATTGATATGCTGCAATGATGGGCACAGATTGGCGAAGCTGAAGGGCACTTTTGGGGCTGCACTGATTATCAGTGTAGATGTCTCCTTTCACACTTTCCTGTTATCGGCAGTACTTTCCTCATGCTCTGACAACATGAGGAAAGTGCATCCGATAACCGGCAACTGTGTTTACATCGTGATCAGCTGTAATTGGACACAGCTAATCACGTGGTAAAAGACCGCTGTGATTGGCCTTTTAGCGTGTCATGTGATAAGCTGTGTCCAAAGGACACAGAGAGCACCAGGTGCGTGTGGTTCTGGGAGGACATCATATGAAGCCCTCCCAGAACTGGACGGCCGTGCTGTAGCCATCATTCAGCTATAGCGTGGTCAAAGTCAGAACTTCTTCTCTGCATACTTGTTTTTGGTTTGACTTGGAGTTCTAGAGCATTACTGTTAGAATTATAGTAAGACATATGGAATTTTTAGAAGATATCAGCAGTGACAAGCCTTTGAGGTTATTTACTAAAACTGTATGTGCAAAATCTGGTGCCGCTCTGCATATAAACCAATCAGGTTCCAGGTTTTATTGCCAAAGCTTAATTGAACAAGCTGAAGTTAGGCTACCATGCAGCTACACCAGATTCGATCAGCTTCTAAGTGGACCTGTTTTAGCAAATCTCCCCCTTTGTTTCTGTTATGATTGCGCTTTCTTTAAAGCTGATTTATATTCAAAACTGAAAGTCAGTTCATATAAACACTTCTCCACCTCTGCTGTAAAAGGCAGGCTTGAAAATGTATTCTTTAACAAACTGAATCTAAGATCTCTTGTCCTGTGACCAACACTGAAGATTCTGCTGTGTAATACTGGAGGGAGGAGGCAGACAGCAGCAGACTGAAAGAGACAGTCTGTTTCTGATCCAGTTTTGTGCCACCAGGGGCAGATTAATGAACAATAGGGTGCCAAGCAAGGTAGCAGCTTTGCCCCCTCTTCCAGCAATTCGATTTCCATTGATAAGAATTTCAATAGGCATGGTCTCTATGGACATGTTCCCTCCCCATCAAACGCCAAGTGTCTAAAGCCTGGTACACACACCAAGTTGTTTGTTTTTTTTTTTTTTTTTTCTTTTCAACCCGGTGGACTTGGGGGGGGGGGGGGGGGGGGGGGGGGGGGGGGGTTTCGACACAAAAACACAAAACCACAAAAAAAACTGAAGAGGATGCTGTACTAACTGCAATGTTACAGCGATCTCGCCACTGTGCTATTGTGTTCTTACAGGGGGACCGCTGCCTCCCTTCCTCTCTGCCAGAACACACCATTCAGCGCTCGCAGCCAATAGCTGAGAGCACTGATCGAATGCCTATTGGCTGCTGGTTTTCCAGCATACTCGTTCGAGAGATCTGCTTCTGTCAAGACAAGGACCTGTACACACAGGCTGAATGTCGTCTGGTTTCCACTGCACCAGCTGATATTCTGCCTATGTATTTGGGGTTTAAGAGTATAAGCTCCCTTGTGACATGACAGGCAGGTTCAAATGGTTGATTGATTACGCCATCTTCCTGATTTACTCCCCTCTCCTGATATGTTGTGCCCTAGGCTCCTTCCTGGTTTGCCATGTGGATAATCAGTTCTGCATGCCTAAACTCCATAAAATCACCATGTCAGCAAAGGTTATGTATTTAGGTGCCAGGGTAATCCTATATTCACCAGTTTTGTCATGTTATTTATATAAATGTGCTTCCACTTCTATGTTTGGATTGGAGAGAATACCTTTTTCAAAAGCTTTTGTACTACATCAAAATAGATATTCTGCAGCAAACATTTTGTATACAAATGATAGGCCAGTTATATTAGGCAAGATCTGTCAGATAATAAGGTGATGTCACAAAAGCGTCATCTTATATTTGGCGTTACATAATTTCAAAATAAAACATTAGCTCTACTGGGTTTCAATGTTCAACAACCCTTTTTCAGTCATTAGGTGAGGGCAGTGTTTTTTTTTTTATTTTTTAGAGAACACATCTAAAATGTTGTAACATGGACAGCTTGGCATGACTTTCAGTGGAAGACTTTATCAGCCATGTGTAGGAAGAAGCTTGCTGCTGTTTTTAATTCACTGGTCAGTCTAATTGAGAAGTGATATTTCAGCCATAGGTGGAGCCTAGAAGGTTGGGCTGTTTACTGCCTTCTTTAGCAATAAGATCTCCTTAAAATTGTCTTCCCGCTCCCCTGTTGTATTATATTGTATATTAATATAGTATACAATAACTTGCATCTTACAGGGATAGTGGGACCTATTGCAATAGCTACAACAGTTATGCAGACCTGGGAGCTTAGGGAACTCTCCATTGGAGTTTCGGAAGGAAGAACTGCTAGGTAATTCATAGTAGACTGTATGTAGGGGCCCCCTCTAAAAGGACCTTTCTTATAATAAATCTAAAGAACTATGGTGCAGAAACACTGGTCCTAATGAAACTGATGGTCTGATTTTCCTCAGGGCATAGGCAAAGTTATCTCAGCCATAGATGTTTAGAGAATCAATGTTCAAGCAGAGACAACTGGTCCACCACACACTGCATACCTTGAGTGAGATCATGCGACCATACAGGAATTGGCTTTTTCTTTTTTTCCAATAAAAAGGTACTTATATAGTGCTGTGATTTACATATTGATGTAGAGCAGGGGTGTCAAACTGGCGGCCCTCCAGCTGTTGTGAAACTACAAGTCCCATCATGCCTCTACCTTTGGGAGTCATGCTTGTAACTGTCAATCTTGCAATGCCTCATGGGACTTGCTGGAGGGCTGCCAGTTTGACACCTGTGTTGTAGAGGGACAGGTGATGGTCCTTATCACAGCATCACTTTTTCTTTTTTTGGATTGGCTTACCCACTTTAATCAGTGCTGTTTCTTGGTCTGTAAATTGGAGGTCAAAAGCTTAAATTACATTATGTGCCTTTTCTCTGACAGCGGTAGTAAAGACCCCTGTAGTAATTAGTACCTACAGGTAAGCTTACAGTCAGGATTACCTGTAGGTACAATGAGTATCTGCCAAACGTGCACCATTTAGAAGACATTCACTGTGGCAATAGCCAATGATGTTACCTGCGCATGCACAGTGACTCTCTGCATTCAGGGCACACAGTATGTCGTTTGAATGCAGAGCACGATGCCATGGCTGGGCCTCCTGCGTGCAAGCAGGAGTCCCAGCCATGACATGGTTCTTGGGCATTAAAGTGGTAGTAAACTGTCAACTCTAGGAAATACTTATTATTTGGAGTTGTATAGAGAGGAAAATGGTTATAACTGGGCATGATCTTGGATTTAGTCTGAAGCCAGACGTTAGCTGGGATAGAGGTGTGGGTGTGAGATTCACCACAGCTTTACATATACAAATGGGGTAGGGATGCTCATGACATCATTGACCGAATATAGCAAGGTACTGACATTACCTTAAAATGACTATGTGCCTGTGGTTTTGTTACGGTCTGCATTCTTACTGAAGAGCTTTTACTTACTCCCTACTTCTGTGACTATACAACAGCCTACCAAGCATTGCCTTGGTTTTTTTTTTTTTTTTTCTAGTGTGCTTGGAGAAAGCACATCTTTTCTTCAGCTCTGCTTAGAAAAATCTAAAGTTTTTTTGCCTTCTTATTCCAACTGACTTCAAATGTCTTTTGCTACACTGAGCTACTTTGTTATTTCTGTTGTTGGGTACCTTTTGTATTTCCTATTTATTGCTGGTTTTACCACAAAGGGTCAATGCTTGGGGATGGAGCTGTGACATAATCTGCTTGGTGGTGTGTCATGTGCACCTTTGAGACTAGAGTAAGCTTTGTTCCCCTGCTGCGCCTGTTTGCAAAAAATAAAGCCACAGGGAACTGTTTTTTCTCAGCCCATTCCTGCTGCCAGTCTGCTTAGTCACTTCTGCCCATCCAACCCTCATCAGCTACCAGCTGCCTGGGTTTGTGAGTACCCAAGGCCTTGCCTTGAACCTTTAAAGGATAAGTTCACCTTTTGTAACATGTTGTACCCATATTCAGGGTGTAACATGTTATGAACAGACTGGCCCCTTTGCGGCAGTCTGCTTGTAGTTCTCAATGAACTGCCATGGAGCACTGTGGTAGTTCATTAAGTCTTGCTGTCAGTATCTGCCTGCCCATACGAGATGACCAAGAACACACATACACTGACAGGCCTGCAAGAGGCCTATATGGCACCAGCAATCTGCTGATCGCTGGTGCAATGCTTTAGAGGCTCAAGAAACTAAAAATAATAAATGCACATTTTCTTAATTGCTAAAAAAAAGTGCATTTATTTTTTGTTAAAAGGTGAACTTCTCTTTTAAGTCTAGTTGCACCACTGCCATGCGGTTGTAAAATGTCTGTTTGGACACAGAGGTGACAGTCCCATTGTTATGGGTAACCTGGCTCAAACTCTAGGGCCATTAGTGTCTGAAATCCAGTGACTTTATGATTATAGGTTCTACTTCAGTCTCTTAGCTCTGACAGGTGAGGCAGAGTCCCCCACCCGGTCAGCAGGGGCCTTTACTGCAGTCAAACTAGACTTTGTGGCCAAAGTCACCCAGTTTCTTGTGGATACTGACTGCTGAGACTTTAAGTGTGCTTCTATCCCTTCCCCTGCAGCATTCACCATTGATCTTCCCAAAGCCCCAGACCACTGTGATCACAGTGACCATCTCTCATACCCAGAGTTCCCACAATCGCTCTTGATGAGACTGTTTTTGATGCACTAAATTCTCCTGCTATCCCCTCAGACACAAGAGACTGTTCTTTTTGATACAGTATGTACTACTTTACATTTGGAAGATTAGCCTGCTGCCTCCAGCTTCAGGTCTTTCCAAGCCCTTACAACTGCACACACTGTTTTAGATATTCATCGCTGTAGATTGGAAATACACTAAAGTCTCCTGGGCCATGCCTGAGGGTGTTTTGGAAAGGTTTCCTTTTTCAGAGGGAACTTATTAATGTGATATAACACCCATGGTGTATCTGACTGGTAGAGGGTGTTTACCTTTTAAAGATTCTACCAGGATTTGGAATCCCTCCTTTTTAAGCCTTCATTCACACTGATGCGGTGCAGAATTCGCAGTGTTTTCAGTGCGAATTCTGCACTGCATCACAATCGCATCCTGTTCTCACGGACCGATGCAGGTGCGAATGTTAATGACACCCCCACATTGGTCTGCAAAACGCGGTATAATGTGTAGAATCAGATTGCTTAGGTGTGAATACCAATTCTAGTGCAGACCAAAAAAGGGTCCTGCACCTATTTGGTGCGGGTGTGATGCGAATAGAGCCAGGGCTAGATCTTTTGGGTCAGATGCCACTTGGGTAACTGCTGTGTCTCCTCCATCAAGAGGCAATGGGCGTTCTTCCTGCGTCAGGGAAGGTAGGTAGTTTTAGAGTTGTACCTAGTGTAAAAATTATTTTCTTGGAGTCCATTAAGGGATACAGATTCTTTTCCGTTGTGTTTTTTGATCCGGCATGCTGGACAGGAGGAGGAGTTATCCTGGGCCGGTCTACAGCGTTTTGTTTGCCACTGTCCAATCCTCCTTTTGGCTGGCAGTGTAAAATCCTTTTCTTAAATTCCACTGAGGGACGCAAATTGTATACTGAGTACAAAAATCCAAGTTTTATTTTCTTATTTTACAAAATGTAAAGAAATGAATTACTGGTACTGGGATAGGAGAAAGATACACCCTAGAAACATTGGTTTGTTTTTTTTTTAACGCTGTATCACCTATGTTTTAAGGCTCTCAAATGACTAAAATGTGTACTGACCCAGCGGTAATTGTGTATTCCTGACAAAATATAACTACTTTTTTTTTTTTCCCCAGGGCCACGAGTGAACAAAGCCAAGGTTCAAGCAGCACGGGAGAGAGAGTAAGGGGTACAGAAGAAGAAAGACTTCTTGGCCACTAGAGTGACTATATAGATTATAAGGACCCCCAAGTTCTGCAGTAGAAAATATGGAGCCAGCTGCAGTGCAGGATGAACCCAGCACCACCTCAGATACCCTATCTGCAGTTGGCAGTCTCAGGAAAGGACTCTTCCATGACAGCAGTGTTACAGCCAATGACTTCCACAATGCTCAAGAAGTTTTTCCACATGTATATAAAAGTTACATTTTTTTTTTTTTTTTTTTGTTTGTACAATCTCTTTAATTTATGGGCAGATCCAAAATTTGTTTTCTAAATGCAAAGCCAATGCAAGTTCCTTGATTTCAGATGGAATCATGTTTTATCATAAAGGCAAATATATTTTATTAACTAATTTGCTAATATATTTACTTTTTATATATTAGAGAATATTTGAGCCAAATGAAGAAAGAAAGGAGCTCACACCATTTTTATAAGCAGAATCTGCATGAACTTTATTCTTAGTATAATACATTTGTACAATTTTTATATGAAGGCTAAGCAGAACTAATCTTTAGCAATGCTTGTTCACCAAACCTCTGTCTGAAGAAGGTCACATGCTCCTCGCAGTGTTCTCCTACAGAGAAGAAATATGAAGGAAGTATGAGTAGAACAGATGCATGGCCTTGCAGCAATGTTAGTGAACTTCAGCTAAACCTTTGTTTTGAATAGAGTGGTGAAGGGGTGGAAATGCTGGCTTGTACTTATGTCTATGTCCCAGCAAGAAAGATTTCACTCATTTTCTGTCAATGTGACATTGCAGACAGAAGTGAGATCTTTCCAACATGACCACACACTAGTCTTTTTTTTTTTTTTTTTTTTTTTTTTTTTTTAAAGGAAAAGAAAACCACACCTTCCCAATAAAGTATTTTATATTGCCATCTGTCCCTCTTGAAGGGTTCTACTCCATATCCTAATGACCACTCTCCCCCTTCTCTCATTCTATGCACATAGGAAAAGGTATGGCAGGAGTTTACATCTGTGAAAACTTGTATCTGATTCACACAGTGCAGGCATTACTTCCAGTTTTCATTTTTAAGGGAAACTAAAATTGAACTGTACGGTTTTTTTTAATAAAAAAAAAAAAAAAAAAAAGGAACTTAGCAGACTGGTTTCATTCATTTTATTTCTATACCTTCTTCATGAAACGGGCAGTAGCCAATGGGGAAATCAGCATTCACTTTTCAGATCGATGCAAAAGGAATTATAATATTGCAATCCATAGCCAATTTTTAATACATTTTAGAATAGTATACAATAGTTATAGTTTATGGGTTCAGTATAAGAACTAATGGATAATTTCAACTTTGATTTTATAAAACCGCTAGACTATCAAGTACTACAATATGGGCACAAATATAAGAATAAAGTACAACTATTATTTTAAAACATGTTAGGAGCATCAACCTAAGATATACAGTAATTGATTACACTGACATCTTGAAAAAGTTAGGTGTGACATGGACAGTATTTGCTTAGAGTTGTACATTTGATACAAAACTAACATCCCACTCTCAGTAGTTGTCCTGAAATAATCTAGAGCAGGGGTGTCAAACTGGCAGCCCTCCAGCTGTTACGAAACTACAAGTCCCATCATTCCTCTGCCTTTGGGAGCCAAGCTTGTAACTGTCAATCTTGCAATGCCTCACGTGACTTGTAGTTTGGCAACAGCTGGAGGGCTGCCAGTTTGACACCTGTGATCTAGAGCCTCTCCTGCCTTTTCACTGGGCTCCATACTGTATAAACCTATGGAGGCTCACAGCACCAGATGCAGCTGCGCTACTGCAGGAAGATTATTGGGAGAATTACAGTGCCTTGAAAAACTATTCATACCCCTTGAAATTTTCCACATTACAACCAAAAACATAAATGTATTTTATTGGGATTTTATGTGATAGACCAACGCAAAGTGGCAGGAAAATTATAAATGATTTTCAAATATCTGAAAAATGTGGAGTACATTTGTATTCAGCTCCCCTGAGTCAATACTTTGTAGAACCACTTTTTTTGCTGCAATTACAGCTGCAAGTCTTTTTGGGGATGTCACTACCAGCTTTGTACAGCTAGAAAGTGACATTTTTGCCCATTCTTCTTTGCAAAATGGCTCAAGCCCTGTCAGATTGGATGGGGAGTGTCGGTGAACAGCAATTTAAGTCTTGCCACAGATTCCCAATTGGATTTAGGTCTGGACTTTGACTGGGCCATTTTAACATATGAATATGCTTTAATCTAAACCATGCCATTGTAGCTCTGGCTGTATGTTTAGGATCGTTGTCCTGCTGGAAGGTGACCGTCCACCCCAGTCAAGTGTTTTGCAGACTAACAGGTTTTCTTCTAAGATTGTCCTTTATTTGGCTCCATCCATCTTCCCTGACCCTGCTAAAGAAAAGCATCCCCACAACATGATGCTGCCACCACCATGTTTCACGGTGGGGATGGTGTGTTCAGAGTGATGTGCAGTGTTAAGTTTCCCGCCACCCATAGTGTTTTGCTTTTAGGCCAAAAAGTTAAATTTTGGTCTCATCTGACCAGAGCATCTTCTTCCACATTTGCTGTGTCCCCCCTAAGCCTTCTTGCAAACTGCAAATGGGACGACTTATGACTTTCTTCCAACAATGGCTTTCTTCTTGCCACTCTTCCATAAAGGCCAGATTTGTGAAGTGCATGACTAATAGTTGTCCTGTAGACAGATTCTCCCACCTGAGTTGTGGCTCTCTACCTCTCCTCCAGAGTTACCATGGGCGTCTTGGCTGCTTCTCTGATTAATGCTCTCCTTGCCCAGCCTGTCAGTTTAGGTGGAACGCAATGTTTTGGTAGGTTTGCAGTTGTGCTATACCCTTTCCATTTTCGGATGATGGATTGAACTGTGCTTTGAGATGTTCAAAGTTTGGGATATTTTTTTAATAACCTAACCCTGCTTTAAACCTCTCCATAACTTTATCCCTGACCTGTCTGGTGTGTTCATTGGCCTCCATGATGTTTGTTTGTTCACTAACAAACCCTCTGAGGGCTTCACAGAACAGCTGTATTTATACTGAGATTAAATTACACACAGATGGACTCTAGTTACTAATTAGGAGACTTCTGAAGGCAATTGGTAGCACTAGATTTTAGTTAGGGGTAAAAGAGTAAAGGGGGCTGAATACAAATGCACGCCACACCCTTCAGATATTGGAAAAAAGTTTGAAAGTCATTTATTATTGTCCTTCCACTTCACAATTATGTGCCACTTTGTGTTGGTCTATCACTTAAAATCCCAATAAAATACATTTACATTTTTTGTTGTAACAGGACAAAATGTGGAAAATTTCAAGGAGTATGAATACTTTTTCAAGGCACTGTATATAGCTGTACCTGCTTTTTTTTTCCCCCTCTTTTGGGGAATGCATGGATATGAATCCCATCTGAAAATGAGAACTCAATATCTGTTGGGATATACACTAATTTTACACAATCTAACCTGGTGTGAAGTTAGGGTTTCCTCGAAGACGTTGGTTTCTTTGCTCAAAGAATCTGAAGACTGTATAGAAGAGCATGTCATCAGCCGCTTGCTTTGCAGCATCCAAGAACTTGCGAGCCGACACACTGTCATGTCCACCAATGCTTCTCACAAACCTCAGAGCTGCCAAAACTTGATGTTTAGATAACAAGACTTCAACAATCTCATCATTAGCAGTGGAAAGCCTCTGTAGAGATGAAGTAATCATATGTGAAATTTAAAGTTGTAAACCTAGGACGTGAAATATGAACAAAGCATATCCCTCTCTGGTGTGTACTTGTCTCACTTAAGAGCACTAAGGTGTTGATTTACTAAAGCTGTAGAGTGCAAAATCTGGTGCAGCTGTGCATGGTAGCCAATTAGCTTCTAACTTCAGATTGTTAAATTAAAAGGAAAAAAACTGGAAGCTAACTGGTTTCTCTGCAGAACTACACCAGATATTGCACTCCCCAGTTTTCATAAATCAACCTCTAAGTATCATTTCTCTCTGTTGCTACAATTCTCTCTATCAGCATCAATCACTTCTGACAAGTTTTCCTGACACCAAAAGAAAAAAGGTGACAGAGGAGGGAGCTCTAGCAGATTGACAGCCTCAGCTCTGTTCCTGTGTGGAGGGGAATCTGTCTCTTCCCTCCAATCACCTCTCCACAGAGTGTAACCTTAGCTCTCTTTTTTTTTTTTTTTTTATGGCTGCTCAGACAAGCTTTATAAATTATGGACTTTGAACAGATGTAGAGAAGACTAAAGATAAACAGGTACAATTGATGTAGTATTTTTTGTATCACCTGAGGCCAGTCACTTCACTAGGTATATGTAAGGGTTTTTATTTTTTTTTTTTTAACCCTGCTGCGTTGCATATTACCCATGTCTGCTATCCCTCAAGGATATTCTTTTTCAATGTCCTGTCTGAATTACCCTTCTCCTTTTGAAGGATAACAGTAAAACATTCATTATATATATCCTTAACACTACCTTTTATTTTCTTCTATTGTTTTTAATACCGACATTTAAGAGTATCAAATCTCTATGTTCCAAAACCAATATGCTAACATAACTGTGTCACAAACTCTCAACGGTGTGCTTATTTTGCTCAGTGCCTGCACTCAAGGAGCTTACAATATAAGGTTCTTATCACAAGCATACATATTAGGGCCAATTTAGATATGAGATAATTAACCTACCAGTATGTCTTTGGAGTGTGGGAGGAAGCCTATGTAAGCACAGAAAGAACATCTAAACGTTTTGCAGATCATGTCCTGGCTGAGGACGCCAATGCTGCAAGGCAGAAGTGCTGACTACTAAGCCACATTACCACTCTTCTATAACCTTCACCATGTCTATTACATCACAATACAGCCTCATTTCTCACAGTGCACGTTGTCCTGTATGGTTAATTATATTCTATAAATGTAAAAAAAATACTAACTTATAGCAGGGTGTTGTGCACACAGCTAATTAAATTGGAGCAATCATTTGTCTGTCTAAACATAAAGTAGGCATTTATTGGTTTAATATGGCCAACACATACATTGTCCAGGACCATTATAACTAATGGCTAGTTTACACCAGAACATGCTTGGGGAAAGGCATGGTACCCCCCTCTGTCTTTGCGATGTGCTGCAGGTGCCTATGTAATGTTAACAGCACCAAATCGCATGGTACCATAGTACCATTCAGTTTGGTGCAGCCCAATGTTTATTTTAAAGTACTGTATGCACTACTTTTTCCGCGCTCTGATGCAATTTCAGACCATCAACTGAATGGGCTGCAAAATAGCACCACGTGGGAATTTGGCATATATTTGTGTGATCCCAATGTGAACCAGCCCTGAATGATTCTCTATTTAGAGCTCAATATTCATGTAAGAAAAAATATTTACCTTTAGCATATCCAGGGAAAGCTGATGTGCTGGAGGATAAACACTCTCTAAAGATAACAATAGGCATGCCTGGAAATACAGTATATAATTAGAAACTAAAACTATTCCTGAAAGAGGAAATATTCATGTTAAAAGGCAAGATACACTGCAAATCTGTAGTATTCATTCAAATAAGAAAATAGGATTTTTGCACTCATAAAATCCTTCTAGTCTCCCTCAATGGAGTCCAAGGAAAGTCTCTAACCTTTGGGTTATACTGCCACATACAGAAGGAATGTAGACTGGCAAAAAAAATCCCCTTCAAAAAAATCCCCTTCAAAAAAACAAAATTAATCCCATAGGCCAGTCCCCACCTACTACTAGTAGTACTTTGTTTTGTAGCAAAGTAGTGCTGACAGCATGATTAAAAACAGAATTGGGACCTAAATGGACTCCCAAGAAAACTATTTTAGAAAAATATTTTCTTCTTTCTCGTCCCTTGAAGGACACAGGAAGTCTTTAAACTTTGGGATGTTTAAAAACAGTCAAACTGAGGGGCAGGCATCCCAGCAAACAACTGCTGACAGGCCTAGGAAAAAGGTAAAAAAAAAAAAAAAAAAAAAAAAAATTTTGAGCATACCTCCCAACTTTTTGAAATGGGAACGAGGAACACCTATTAGCAAATGTATGGAGGCATAGGACACACCCACTGCCACACTCCGCTAAAGGAGAATTAGACTTAAAAAAAAAAAAGGATTTGTTAAACCTACAAGTGTTTTTTTACTACTACTATTCCTTTATGTTGGCATTTGAAGTTTACAAATGCAACAATTTAGAAGCTAGATGAAAAGGTGTAGCACTGGGAAACACTTTTTGAAAGATAAATAGTGCATTTTATATACAACTATATAGATCAGAGACAAATGAGGATGAAGGAATGGCAGAGGGAGTTTGTTCCAAATCAGGGACAGTTGGGAGGTATGTTTTGAGGACTGCCTGAATCTCAAATAGTCACCTGAAGGACCTTACGCCTGAAGCTGGCATCAGATGTCAAAATATCTAACCTGGTAAAACTTTGAGAAAATATACAAAGAATGCCAGGTGGCAGCATTGCAAACCTGGAAAATGATTGCTTGATGTCCAAAAGCACTAACAGATCTAGTAGATTTTGCCTTGACAGGAAAGGGTGGCACTTGCTTTTCGAGGCCATAAGCTTGAAAGAAGCAGTGGCTAACAGATAAACTCACACAGCTTGAGCCACATCCACACAATGGAGAGAAATGATGAACTGCAGCTGTAAAGAGGGACAGAAGAACAATGTCCTGGTTGAGGTGGAAGGCAGAAAATATCTTAGGCAAGAAGGAAGTCCTGAGCCTCAGAAACACCTTGTGCCTATGCAAAACAAAAAAGGGTTCCTTGCAGGATAATGCCACCAGTACAGACATTCATCCTGCAGTAGAGATGGCTACAAGGAAAACCTATTTGTGGGTGAAAGTAAACAACAGAGAACCAGTTACAGGCTACATGGCCGACCTCCTGTACAAGGTCAACAGCCCCTGAAACAGAATAGAAAGTGCAAAAACCTGCCCCTTCATAGTGCTGAGAACCAAAAGGCGTGTTTCAGACTAAGCTGCAGGAAGGAAAGGATTTGTTTCAAGGAGAAATTCCTAGGGTGGAAACCCTGAGACTCACACCAAGTGAAGTGCTTCTTTCATATCTCCTCATAATAGACCTTGGGAGGAGTAAAGTCCTCAAAATCCGGATTTTAACAGCAATTCTGGCCAGCAACCAAGAAGCAGGATGGTAAATCAGTCCTTGGGACAGAAGATCTTGATGAGTCCAGCAGAAACTACTTAGTGTCTGCCAGGTGTCTTACCAGATTGGCATACCACATCCACTTGGGCCACTCTGGAGCAATGAGCATCACCGGAATGCCCTACTCCTCAATACAGAGAAGCAGAAAAAGTTTCACCTAGAGGCCAGGAGGTCTACGTCCTCTGCCATCCTCACGTTAGACAGGTCCTGAAACACCACTGGGTGTAGGGACCACTTAACTAAGGTCCAGGTTCTTTTACAAACTCTAAAAGCTGTAAGTGAAAAATGAAAACCTACAGATTTTTATAGAACTAGGCTTATTTACAGTTTTGCGTACATTCAATTTTCAACATTTCAAAAAAAGGCACAATTTAAAAAATTTACAAATATTTATTAACTCAATACAGGTTAAAACTTTTATATTTAGTAGGAATCTAGAGAAAATGTGTATTTGCTAATGATTTTAGTGAATTTTTAGCAAAAATATTGATTGATAAACGTTTGCGCAAATATCATGGGGCCCTAAAAATCAGTAGCACCTTCTTTTTATTCTACTGGTCATGTGCTTTCAGAAAATATATGGTTTAGGGGGTATTTTACAAACTCTGAAAGCTGTAAAGGGAAAAATAAAAAGGCAATGGAAAAATTGCAAAAATGGTCCGACCAGCTGAGTTTAAAAGTGGAGCGCAGGGCTTGGCAGCAAAAGGGTTACAGGAAACCTGTCAGGAGATACACATTGAGGATGCCATTGTCAAGCTCATTCTTAAAATACTAGTTGTCTCATTGTCATGCTGACCCTCTGACATTAATGCTTTGAGTTACTGCTGGGAACATGTATGCACACAAGGACTTCTGACTTTCCTGAAGCAAGCAAGTCTGAGTAAGAACTAGGCAACAAGTCGGCTGCCCAGGATTCCAAAATGGGTCAAAAAAAACAAAGTTGTACATACTTTATAATAAATGAGTGGCTTTGCCCCATTTTGTTTGCTAAATGTCCCCTGTAGTGTCAATGGATTCGAGTTGTGTTGATGGGTAATTGAGCTTGCTTTTGACATCAGTTTGAGATGGTTCAGAGGGGATCAGAATTCCTTGACAGGTGCATTTACCCTGCAGTTGGAATGCCTGGTTTTGCATTCCCATAGATTTGTATGGGTAGAGAAGCTGCTATAAACATGAACAAAAGGCCATCAACAAAGGTCCTAACAAATCTGCTCATAGAAAATCCCTAAGAATACCTATAACCACTGCAGATGTGCAAGTCTAACAGGGGTACTCTATTCATAAAAAAAAAAGATATTAAATTGGAGGTTACTGTATATACCCCCAGGGTATATTTTATTTTCACATGGACTTGAAAATAACTGGTGGAAGGGAAGTACTTGTTGGGGGGGGGGTTGCACTTCAAGTTATTTTTCCTGCACTTACTAAGAATACTCTTGTGAAAGGTCATTCCTATGAAGATGTGTGAATGAACATACCAGAGGTTTGGAGTCACTGAGCACGTGATACTGAAGGAATTGGTGGAGCATATAGAAGAGGTTATGTTGTACCAAAGTCTTTATCACCAGTTCATATAGGTAGTGCTGCAGGAGAAAAGAAGAGAAGGGATATAGTGAGAGCTCAAAAAGTGTTGTCCAATTAGATAATAAATAGCCTATATGAGTGGATGGGTTTTAAAGAGAACCAACCAGGAATGGATATTTGCAAGAATTTGAATCTTCTTCCTTAAATTGTTTTAATAAAATGATGCAGCTTTACCTTAAATAGACAGCTGCATTTCTTGTTATTCACATGTATACTAACCCTCCCAGTGCAAATGTGTCCATTCAATGTCCGGCCTTAAAGGCCACAATGTCATTACCCCCATCTCCTGCCTCATGTCAGTAGGGGCTGAAGCAGGTAAAACTGTCCTAAAATAATTTCAGCACTAAGCTAAAGAGGGCCAAAGGATGGCCTACTTTGTTGGGGTCTTCTAACCTGGCACTAAGCCTACAACTTTGCTCTGACAGGTAGTAGAAAACAATGGGGCAATCAGTAATCTGACTTTAAACACTAACTGTGAGCAATGGATAAGCAATAGCAAAAGTCTTAGAGAAATATATGCATTCAATACCTGTACAGGGATCTGAAATTGGTTCAGAGAACGGATGTACTCCATGAGGACAGCAATGATGAACTTATGTGGAGCCTCCTAGGTAACAAATCAAGAAAACAAAAAAGAAAGTATTAACCTCCCTAGCTGTGTGATTTTTTTTTATGCAGGCCTGTAATTTTTAGGAATAACTCACTGAAATCTGTCCGAACAAGAGTCTAGTAAACATCCCAGGTATGTTAAAATTTGAAACACGAAATCATAAATTATAATTTAATAATCATAAAAAATATTATTATAATAATAAATTTAATTCAATAATATAATCAAACCAAAAACACTGAAATTTGAAATATAGCGCCAAGTTCGCACATCACTGAGCTCAGTCGCAAAATCGTTTTCAGTGTCTGATGAAGAATTTCCCCATGAATCATCACTCAATTCTGCAAGTGGTTCTAATTTACTATCGCTGTTCTCTAGCTGGTCTAAAACAGCTTTTGACCTAAAGAGACGCTTTTTGGACGCCATGGACATTTCTCAGTTTCCAGGCAGAAAGAACAGTAAAAATGCAGGCAGGGCACAGGACAAAGCACTCGGGACAAAATGTATGTGAAATGGTTTGATACAGTAATGTTTTACTATGTGATTTTAGTGTATTTAGTGAATGTCACTTTTTCACATTTTTAAATTTCCCGCTGGTTCCGTCCCCCCGTATGTCCTGACGTCACAGGGAACGCAACCCAGAAGACAGATGCCGGCATCGGCCGGAGGACATTGCCGGGGACACTGCAGGAGGGACATCGCAGGAGTGAAGGACAAGGTAAGTGAAGAAGAGATCCCGGAGCAAAGCTGTAGTGTATTCCCGAGTGTAGCTCGGGGTTACCGCTTGTGGTGCTGAAACTTTACCCCGAGCTACACTCGGGAATACCTCCAGGGAGGGTAAAGGGGCTTTCCAACAACAGTACATTAAACTTTTGCCAGCATTCAATCTGGTGCCTACAAAGTTGTTCACACATCTAAATCAATCCATCTAATTATCCACACAGCTCTAGTATACACAAATCTGAGATACCCACAATCTTCTACTGGTTCAGATCTGCTAAGCTAAGACACAGGGACTTTTGCAGTTGTATTGGATATAAAAAGTGATCAGTGGAGTTCTTAAAAGCTTATTCTCGATTTCATTTTTTTAAATTATTCTAGATTTTCCTATTAGCAAAAGGACAACATTCTAAAGTGTATAATAATATACTACTAATATTCTGTGTCAATTTTGAAGCCTTTGTAGAAGAAATCAAGCAGACTCACCTTCAGGTCAGTGAATACAGACAATACATGTGTGTACATGTCAGACTGGTCTATAACAGCTTGTCCACGCACAGGTCTCTTCACAAGAGCATTACTTCTACCTTGACTGGTTTCAACTGCCTGTACCATAAAGAACAGAGTCAGACCCAGGACATGATATCATCCTAATATCTATTATTCTGTAATTATGTCTGAAATGATCATTTAAAACTAACACCATCAACTTACAACACGCAATTTGGGCCAACATTCTTTTACATCTGATGTTTTTCATAAAGTATCATTAAACCCAATGCAATAGATTGGTATGAATGATTAACAAATGAAATGCTTTCACTTACATTCTCTAGATCTCTTATTTCCAAATACTTTATTTTATGCACTCAATATCGCAGTCATATGACGTTCGGGTACTTGCTCTGAACCGCAATGCAAGAGGTGTGGGTGGAGTAAACCAGGAACAGAGTCAATTAGTGCTATTGCAGTTACATTTAAAAAAAAAAAAAATCTCAAGGCCATACCAGGGGCGGACTGACAACTTATGGGGCCCCCGGGCAATAGGGGAATCATGGGGCCCCTGTGTCCTTGCTCAAGCTCAAAAAAGCCTATGAAAAAAGGTACTAGGGGCATCTCATGGGGCCCCCTACTGACCCCGGGCCCTCAGGCAGTGCCCGAGTTTCCAAATGGTCAGTCCGCCCCTGGGCCATACTAATAGACTACTAAGTACTACTATTCTGTGTTGAGTGCTAGGGTCTGTGCTTCAGTTTCCCCCTTTTTGCCTGTATATTGTAGTTTGTCCTTTGCTCATGGAGCACTGGACGTTGCAAGACCCATGTACAGTTTACCGATGCCATGTTTTTACTGATTACTTTGGACTACATCCAGAGGAGTGCCCCAGTTTGTGTGACTGTAGCGTAACACTACTCTTTATATAGTTAAAGTGGAACTTTAGTCAGAAAATTAAGCCTTGCTAGATCACTTCAGGTTGGCCCCTGTAGCAGGTATAGCTATGTATAAAATTGAAAAATTAAGTGCCTATATGATTTAAAATCCAGTAATACAGTGTCTCAGCCTGCTCTGCACATGACCAGTTGCTCTTTATTTTTAGGCACTGTGTTGAATTTGTAGAGGAATTTGTGAATCTGCTGACAGTCTAATGATTTAATGCTGCTCAGGACCCTGCGCTTCAGCAAAATGAAAGCCTCCAAGCAAGAAGAAACAGGAGCAATGCTGGGGACAGTTTACAGCACACACTAATTTTGGTAGCATAATTAATATGTGGAATGTATGTTCCTTGCTAAAGAACATTACATTTTTATATCAAGTTGTTATGGGTAAAGATCTGCTTTGGGAAAAAAAAAAATCTGAATAAAAAAGGAATAAAAATAGCTGAGAGTGGTAACACAGGATTGACTGTTTACCTGTTTCCATGCTAAACAGGGGAGTACAGTGGAATGGCAGGATCAACCAGGTATTCATGAAAAATCACAATATTCATAAATGGAAATGCAGTGCAGACAGGTAGAGAACATATTTTTGCATGCAAAAACTAATTTTGGGTTTAATGACCTTTTTCCTTTTTACATGTCTAATGCATCTAATCTATCCATATATCCATTTTTATCCATCCTTCTATGTTATCTATCATAACCTGTACTAGAGAGAAATATGGGGGCAACCATTGCTGACCTCTGTAAATGCCAACACCTTGGCTATCTCTAGCTTCAGTAGTTTTATAGCCACTCTGGAAGAACTATGCTGCCAGTGCAGAACTCCTGATATTCATACTTATTCCACTTGTTGACTCAGAAAGAACTGAAACCACAGGATTAGCATTATAGCCAGGCAACTAAAATTTGGAATTACTTAGAGTGGTGCTGTTGTGTCTCCTCTCTCTTTCTGTGCATTAGAGTTGCTTCTCGCTCTGACAGCTGGCTGCCTTCTACCCTGAGATCCACATCTATATGGAGATATTATTTACCTCCGGACGTGTGTGTACTAGGACGCGGCTGGGCGCTCACATGTCCGCCATAATTACCTATACGGTTTTTGTTCATAATATATATATATATATATATATATATATATTTTAGAGGATCAAATATATATGTGATTATTGTTGGATTATATACATCTGATATGGTCTCCTAGCGCTCCGCACCCCTCCACCCTATACCAACATACCTTAGGTGCCTGCTTTTACCTTTACTGCACTCTCCTCCCTATCTAATTCTCCAGCAGAGCCCTGTTACAAAATTAGGACTTCCAATATCTCAACTTTCAGAAAGACACAAGTTGCACAAGATTTTCAGGGACTCCAACAGAGAAGGTAAGAACAGACACAACATTGTGCTACCTAAAAATATCAAGCTTTGCACATGGTTTTCTTGCTTTAATGTTCAATTAATGTCTTGGTAGTAACCCTAAAATCAACTGAACTGAATACTGATTTCATGCAGAAAACCGCAGTGTCCACTGAACATGGAAACAGGTCCCTGGCCAGACTACAGAAGACCTTACCACTGTGTAGCTGTGCTCAGCTTCTAAATATTTCTTATATTCACAGTTGAGTTTGTCGAAGACTGTAGCAATGACTGGCAGCGATGCCCTATCCATCTCCGATAACACTGAAGAAGACATAACATAACATTGTTTGGGTTTATGCTATTACAATCGGCATTTTCGGTGATAAAATAGTGTTGGCAGCACTAACTTTGTGAGCAAACTGATAAAATAACAGCTTTACAGTCTTTGCGTTGAAGCAAAAAATCCATCAGTCGGCCCTTGTCTGTGAGCAGGTGCACGATAGGCTGCAGTTTGATACGGAGGTACCACAGGAAACCTGAGGACATAAAACAAATACTACATAGTGTAAGGGGACAGACATAAGAATCACTGTAAAGATGTTCTCTGCTTATCAAACTTCTCTTCCCATAATTAACATGCACCTGCCACCACCCCCACAACAGCCTTCACTAGTTCTTACCTTCACTAGCACTGATTATGATATCTGGCTGGAAGACAATCCAAGAAGAAGAATCTGCTAGTTAAAGAACAAAATACATCATCTGGAAGAAAGTGACACAATACTGCAGGGTCCTTACATACAGAGTGCATAGTGTAGAGAAGCAGCAATAGTAAGAGCGCCATCTATTGATAGGTAGCAACACTGCAGCCTCTTTTCACTTTAATAGAAAATAGTTGGCATTTAGGATGCAAGAGTAGAAGGGAGGGAGAGCATGCACAGCAATGCTGCTTTACTGCACTCCCTGACCATGGGTTTATTCAGGCTTGATCCTCCTGCCTGACAAATGATTCACAGCAACTGTTCAGCTGTAAACAACCCTTGCCTAGTATCTGATTTATATCGCCTGGGCACCAAATTACTAACGTTTGCCTATACATGGTTTCATGGCTACTAAAGAGTACAATCTGATTGCCTGATACAAGCCTATGTTTGATATTTTTTTTATATAGCTCCTGCCCACTGAATTGCCAATTTGTCAGGACAACTAAAATTTTACAACTAGGAGTATGGATAGTGACTTTTACAGGTTAGCAATATTTATCTAAAAAGTTTTTCATTTCACCTGAACCATGCAGATTAGCCTTGTTAAAGAATATGTAAACTCTCACTATGAAAAACAACCCATTTAGTCTAAAATAGAAATGAAAGGCAAAACAATAATTTATACATATTAAAAAACATTATAAAAACTCTTTTCCCCCCCTTTTTTATAAGTGATCACATAACATCTGTTCTCAGCTGCATAAGAAGCTAGGGAAAGAGAAACAGCAGTATAGTGATCTTCCCAGTGAATGGCTGTGCAGAGGGGGCATGTCAGCACAAGCCTGGTCATTGGATTAGCTCCCAGCACAACCAGAAAACTGACCATACCATCCTGTGCTTTCATGCCTAGTGTGGTTGGTTTTTAATAGGAAAGCAGAGAGACTGGCAGGAACACCAGATATTTCACACAATTGAAGCAATACAAAGAGGAAAGGATACTTTTTCATACAAGTACATGGAACAACAGGCACACTACTGACATCATTCTGGTCTGTAACTGTTCAGCTGGGCTTGGAAGCCATTGCTATTTAATGGGATACTGAGGCCACAGTAGTGTATTTCTTTGGCTGGGCTGTCTCTTTCTGAAGCTCTGAGGGCAATGCAAACCTTAATGCAGTTATACAGAAAAGTTGAGTGTTCAGTTCCTGTCTGAAAAATGTATTTTTTCATGCCTAGAGTTTACAATTACTGAAAGCAGTGTACTTATAATGGATCCCAACCTCTCAAAGGTTGCCTACCCCTGTAATAGGTTAACATAAACCCTATAAATGCAATAGGAAGAAGGGTCAGCCGCACACCGGAGGATAGATGAATATAGTGTGTATTTATTAATCCATAGGACACACAGAACACCAGGACGTGAATACAGGACCTTTTTTCATATCCTGGTGTTTTGTGTGTCCTATGGATCAATAAATACACACTATATTCATCAATTCTCCAGTATGCGGCTGACCCTTCTTCCTATTGCATCGTGTGTGGTGGCGAGCCAGAGCCTGCACCTGTTGTGGATTGATCTGGATTGTTTGCCTGAGTGGTATACCTTTTTTCTTTGGATTAAACCCTATAAATGAATGTATGTTGGAGACCTCATTTGCAAAACATATTTCAAGGGATTCCTATTCACACTTTAAACATGCAGCATCAGCTCAGCCTGTAAGTCAGAAAGGATACAGAGTTTGCAGGGAATTGGGACCTGTCCAGCCGCAGCCGAAGGGCCTGTTAAATAGAGAACACAGAAAAAGAATGAACAACTATTTATTTTTACATCGTTTGTTGCTTTCTAACATTAGAACTTTATGTTGGTTTGACAAAATATTACAAATGTTGGAATCAAAGCATTATTTTAAATGAACAGTCAACCCAAAATGAACGGTCATATACAAAGTGGGAAACCACACACACCAAAAAGCATCAGGCGCTGATCATGGGAACGCATACCTGTCATGGGGATGTGGTATGGATGTATAGAACGGGCAGGTAGCACTGGTTGGTGTAAGTTCACTGTACCATCATACTCTCCTCGCAGGCGAATGTCAAAGATCACAGATGTCTGAAAGGTATATAAATGAAGAGCTCAGAAGAACACGATTACACAGGTAATAGTTGAACTCATTGCACACCTTCTTACCTCAGTATCCTGGTGATGAACTACTACTAAGTTATCTACAACATTGAGTGCAAACTTCCCTGTCCTGTTCAGTTTCAGAATGTGCATCTTTTTACACGAGCCTTCCCTGAAGAGAGAGTGGAAACTTAGTACACAGGAAAACATACTGATAAGCGATAGCAAGATGAGACCAATACACAAAGATATAAACTGATATTTTTTACCTTTTTTCCATTATCTATATAAAAGATTTACCCAGCATTAACGTGGTTGTAAAACGCAGACATGAAATATGAACAAAGCATATCTCTCTATAGTGTGTGCTTGTCTCACTCCAGAGCGAGAAGTATAATTTCTGTCTGCTGCCTTGTTTCTCTGTCATCTGCATGAGTCACTTTTAATGAGTTTTCCTGACACCAAAGAAAAAATGGTGACAGGGGAAGGGCACAGCCTGTGGATGACAGTCTCCTCTTTGTTCCTTTGTGCTGTGTGAAGGGGGGGGGGGTCCCTTCCCTCCAATCAGCTCTCAGAGCTCTCTTCCCTGATGTAACTTCAGCTCTCCACCCCCTGCTTTTCAGAGCTGAGAGATCCTGTGTAAATTCTGCACTTTGAATGGATGTAGAAGAAAGACGACTGTAGATAAAAATGTACAGCTTACATAGGAGGATTTGTTTAATCTCTGTGTATTCCTGAGGTCAGACACTTCACTGGGTATATGTAAGAGTTTACATCCAATTAAAACATAAGGTGCATCCATAACACTTACTTTGCTGAGTATGTTGGACTTTTCAATCAGAAAGGCCAGGACTCCTGCATGCCTTTTTGCCACCTCTGCCTATCTAATCCAGACAGACCAAATCTCCTCTGCTGGTCATTCAGTTGTGTGTAATTTAAATTGGCCATTTGCTGCTATTTCTATTTATAACTTAGGATAAATTAAGTTGTTCCCAACATAGCAGTATATCAGCTTTCAAAAGAGTTATGGCTAGTTTACACTAGCTGTAGCCCTCTGAAAGGTGATCCACCATGGAATGCTCTTCAGAGGTTGTTTGACAGGCATTATTTTGTCTCCTCACCATCTGTTTTAACACCTAAAAACATGCAGCATGCTAATGCAAGCAAGTGAATGGGTTGTGTTCAGGGGGAGATAACCGTGCATGACAGAAGGGATAACTTTCACAGAGCTGTGATGCAAAACATCACAACATGTGTATACCACCATTTACTGCCTTTGCAGCTTAAAATGGAACTTCACTCTCTCAACCAACATTGATCATTTTTAATCCTTATGCTGCTAATATTAGTAATAGATAAGAAAATATATTATATTTACTAGTTTTAAAACTTTTTTTTCTGAAATTCTAATAGAATAAAATGAAACATAATAAAAAGAATACAGCCATCTTCTGAAATTTGAATAGAAAAAAATAGAAATATAGCAGTCTTCAGAAATTTGAATTGATTTGAAATAAAACGAATATACAAAACGAATCCCAATACTCAAAAGGAACTCTGAAAATCATTCTAACATAGCAAATATGATAAAACAAAGGAATCCGACATGAAACACATTTTTCTGTTGTGCACATCTCTTATTTTTACTGCCCCCAAACACAAGTGTAAATGAGCCTTTAGTGTTTTGCTTCAAGTTCACTACCTGCCAGATTAACAAGAGTGAATGGTTCATATTTACCTAACCAACTAAAAAAATAAATATCAAAGCTAGCAGATGCTGCAGGCACAATTTATTCTATCATTAAACAACAAACAGAGAAGCAAGCACTTTAAATACTCATGTTCCCCGAGCTGTTCTTTTGGATTTGAGTTTTAGTGTGTGACCCAGTATAATGCTCAAAATGGTAACTGCAGTCTCCCTGACTCTGAACATGTTCTTTTGGAAGTATTGGCAAGCAGACCGAAAGCTTCCATTGGTAAACATAAGTTCTTGGCTCTAAAAAAATTTAACAGAACCTGCTTCTCCAAAAAACTCCAAATACAAATTTGAGAGCTTTATTTTGGCGTTTTTACATCTGAGGACTGAAAAAGGCTTCTCATATTGTCAAGGCAGTCACCGCTACTACAGCTTGTGTGATTAAAATAGTGGAGATGAAGAAAAAACATCCAATAGACACAACAAAATGCTCAGACAGGTTGGTACATTTAGAAAACTGTCTCAGGCAACCAAACCTAAAGAGGATAAGTTCACCTTTTGTGTACAAAAAAACAAAAATACATGCACACGATGATTTTGCACATAAAAAAAAAATTTAATTTTTTTTGGATACACTTGCAGCCTGTAAAGCATTACACCCACGATCAGTGGATCACAGGTGCAATGCCAGGCTCTTGCAGACACCTCAGTATAGCTGTCAGCCAATACCTCCTGTTTGGGCAGACAGTTACTGAATTGCAGGAAGAGTGAATGAACTATGAGAGCGCTCATCAGCACCCTTGCAGCTCATTGAGAACTACAAGTCAGTGGCGTATTTTGGTTGTGTGCCACCCTAGGCAAGAGTAAAAGAGATTGAGATTCCGGCATTCACCCACCGGCAACCCCGGGAGCCATAATCAGGAATGCCCAACGTCAGCTTTCTGAGCTAATCTCTAACAACAGTCCCAGAATGAGAGTCGGACACCCTTCAGCAAATCGCTGTGCCTCACCTGCTCCCCATCCTTACTGGCTCCCACGCGTGCCACTTCTGCCGGGGGGCAGCACTGCCCCCCTGAAAAATGCCGCCCTAGACAAACACCTTGTTTGCCTCATGGCAAATACGCCCCTGCTACAAGCCGTTTGCCTCCATGGGAATTGTAGTTCATTCATTCACAGATCTGTATAAATCAATGACACCGCTGTGTGGGTGGAGCACTGCACAGCCATGCTAATTTTAAATTGTGACAGTGGGTGCAGGGAGAGAATCCCCCAATCACTATCACACAGTGGGGAATCAGGGGAGTGCAGGGACTGGAGCAAAGTAAAATGTTACATACAGCTGCAACATGTTACAAGAGGTAAACCTATCCTTTAAAGCAGAGACACACAGGCTGTCCGATGAGCTTCCACACTTCCAATCTGTTTACTGATATTTAGGGAAATTGAGCCACGTCAGTAAGTATGACCCAACACATACTGTATATCAAACTGCTGTTTCACTCAGATATACAGCATTTCCATGTATTCCATGTTATTATAACTGAATTCCATACCGTGGTAAGTGGTAGAAGACCACCTCAGCTCCAGGGCTGCTTGAAGCTTTTGCATGATGTCTCAGGAACAGAACATAAAGCTGCCCATATCTAACAAGAAAAAATACAGAACAAGAAAATATTAGCATTAAAATTAAGATAGAGAACAGTGTGTAAGTGTAACAGAAACAAATACTGTATCAAAATATAAACCACACGAAACATACAAAACATCTTGGGCAGGGGATCTGGAGACGCCCTATTGACTTCTTTTGGTCATAGACTGGACACACTCCGCATCCTCATAATAATGTGATTTGCGGAATATGTGAAATCAACATTCATAAGTGTTCATCCTTATAAGTGCATAAAGCCCAAGATAAGACTTTCATGTAGATAAATGGAAGCCAGCATTCTTTATATTTTAGAGTGTTATAAGGAGTTAAAAAGGGAGTAACACTATAAGATCACTAATTCATACTTATATTGGTATAAACATATTACATACATACTTTATAAACGCAGCTATATGATATGTCTAGACCAGTGGTCGGCAAGCCGCGGCTCTTTACACGCTTTAATGCGGCTCTTGTGTGCCGGGCGCCCGCTCCCCTCCCTCCTCTCGGGCGGCAGGGACTCTGCAGCGTGATCCCAAAAAAAAAAACAGCCAGGGCAGCGCGCTCAAATGCAATGATTGGCCAGTCTCGCTGCCACTCACATCCTGATAGCCAGTGATTGGCTGTCAGGATGTGTGTAGGCGGGGCAGCGTGATGAACGTGAGAGGAGCTAGGCTCCTCTCACAGTCCGCCCTGAAGACCGGAACGGCGCGGGAACACGGCGAGAGGAATGCGCGGAGCAAAGGTAAGTGAATTGACATAGGGGGGACTTGGCTTACTACTTGCTACTTACTTACTTACTACTATATGAGGGATGAATTAATATGGGGGATGAATTACTATATGGGGGATGAATTACTATAGGGGGGGATGAATTACTATAGGGGGGATGAATTACTATAGGGGGGATATTACTATGGGGGATGAATTACTATATGGGGGGATGAATTACTATAAGGGGGATGAATTACTATAAGGGGGATGAATTACTATGGGGGATGAATTACTATGGGGGATTAATTACTATATGGGGGATGAATTACTATAAAAACTTATTGAAACTAAAAACAGTGTACCATCCTATGTATTTTCAGTTTTAAAAATGTGGCTCTCAAAATAAATTTCAATCGTGGTTTTGGCGAGATTTGGCTCAGTTGAAAAAAAAGGTTGCCCACCACTGGTCTAGACCATTGTTCTCCAATCTGTGGCCCTTTGCTTGCTTTTATCCATTATCCAGCCCTGGGAGGGGGGGGGGGGGGGGGAGCATTATCCCCCCGCCCCGTCAGCAATAGTGGGACATAGTTCCTGCCACTA